ACGGTCAATCCGCTATTAAAGAATAACTATTTTAAAAATTTGCTCGCAGTCGCGAAGTAGACAGATGCACGCTTTATTTCTAGATAGACGGGTTTTTTCAATTTAAAATCTCATAATAATATTACAAATAAGTTATACCTACTTCGGTTAGAAAGTTACGTAAGTCCATCAAGTTAGAGGTAAATCTAAAATAGCGTCTTTTTTATTTTAGAATTTCTTTCTTTGCTTTTAAAGTCGTGTATGAAAGTCATTCGAGAGATCATCAGAGGGTAGAACAACGAAACCCTCATTCACAACATTAGAGCCAAACCTATCCTGTTTTTAACAGTCGCTGTGGTCGAAATCGGCCGAGACATCATCAGAATTTCTTTTCAATATAAAGTCTTCGTCTAAAAGAATCCTAACAATTAATCTGTAACACACTCATCAATACTATTTTCCGCAAATCCTATTTGTAATAATATATATACATGTATTACATATTACAGCCGTGAGCTACAAGTGTTACGTCAACAGCCGGTGATTATGTGATATACTTAATTAATTAATAAGCATTGAGACTGAGAACACTGTTTGTTTTCCGCTTAGAGCGACTCCTCGCGCGGCTCTACTCTGCCACTTGCCGCTGCCAACACTTGTGCTAGTACGAGTGTACAAACAGTACGTGTACAGTGTACAATATACATTACATACATATGTAAGGTCGATTCTTACTATTCAGTCAGTCAGGCCACTTTTTTAATCATTGGTATCATGACTGATAAGTTGTCGAAGTCTTTTTGTTATGATGTTTACATGTAGGTATCTTAAAACTTGTTATCTTATCATTGAATATATAAATAATTCAATTTAAATTTATTAATGAAGATTAGGAGAATGATTGATGATCTCCCATTGCTTGTTGGAGACAAACTTAATATCGCTTCTCAAGTCGTATTTGCACAGTACTTATAGTAGGGTCTATATTAATATCTGCTATAGTATTATGTCATCTGTGTAAATTTATGAGTTTTTTATGTACCGTCGTAATCTTCGAAACGAACGGTCCGATTCTACTAAATAAATTATTACAATAGCGACCGACTGTGTCTCTGGGTATCGTAGTAGCCAATGTTTACTCCAGAAACTCACACAAACTGTTGCATTTAGTTTGATGTATTATGTGTTTTCATCATGAGGAAACCTGCATGTCTGAGAGAAGCTAACAAGTTTTCGAAAGACATGCTCAGTCCGCCCGCACTTGGCCAGCGTGGTGGACTATAGTCTGATCCCCCTCGTATTGAAGGGAAGCCCGTGCCCAGCAGTGGGTTGGGTGATCTTAGGTGCATATACTTGTAATGAGATCTTTTAAATAAATCATTATGTAACGCAGTACCTACCTACATTTTTATGTAATTAATTTGTGTCCCTATTATACATTACATTTTATCTGCAATAACACAAATATATTTAATAATGCACATTCAGTACGTAGTACTCGTACATACACGTAGGTACTATCTTTATATATATAATTCTTCTGTGAGTGTGTATGTCACTGAACTTCTCTCAAACGACTGGACCGATTTTGATGAAATTTTTTGTGTGTGTTCGAGGGGATCTGGGAATGGTTTAGATTCACAATTTGAATAATAATTTTCATCAAAAAAAATATTAAAAAAAGTTTGAAATTTTCAAATTAAAGACGTGTAGACAGGACAACGTCTGTCGGGTCCGCTAGTATATACATAAAGCAACAATTTTAGCTTAGATAAAATGTAACATAGGACGACTCGTCTAAGTTTACAGAAAGTTTAGATTTTCAAGAAGAATGATTTTTATCCGACTAACCCAGAAGGAGGGTACCAATTACTAGTATTTATGTGCTTAAATATCACCATTTTATAATGATGAAAGAAGACAACTACGTATAATTCATAGTGGATTATAAATATTTAAATTGTTGCAAAAGCGAATGTTGTTATTGGTCAGATCGCTAAAAATATTACATGTAGGTATGTAGGTATATATTTTGTAAATATTTCTATTGACTATGTAATTCAAAAGATACGGCATTGAAAGTAGGGTAGATGGTGTGGGCTCAGTAATAGTTATGGTCTTTGAGTTGCGTGACCGAAAAAGTAATCAAGTTTTTAATAAAACTTAATGTTAAACAATAAATATAAAGTAAAGAAAATCAACAGCGGAATTATTTTGCACGCTTCTGGTTTGCGCATGTTTAAATGCTAAAAATATTAAGTCAAAGATTAAAAATATTATTATACTTGCGAGATCAGTTTTATTGGTGTCTATTTGATCTACATTCTACAGCCGTTGTTGTTGTCGCGGCTCACGTGACTGCGCGCCGCACTAATCACTACTCGCCGAGGCACAGCCGGGGACGTCTTGCAGTCTTATCGTATGCGATATATTAAACGTACCTATATAAATACATAGCTAATACTTGTGGTAGATTAAAGCACAAATCGTGATTACGTGCAGGTGATTATTGAATTGATTTATTAAATTAATTAATAGTTTGTGGGAAATTAACATTGAATGACATTATTGTAATTTTTTTAAATTGAAATTTGTCATTACATTTAAAATTATTTTTATAATATACTAGCATTGCCCGCGGCTCCGCCCGCGTTCAGATGACCAAAATCCAAATTATTAGGTTTTACATATTAGTATATTCTTACGTTGCAGTTTTTGTATTTTTTCTCAGAAATGAGACATTTTCCCGCAGTAAAAAGGATTCTATATGTTGACCTGGATAACCAGCTATCACCATACCAAATTTCATCAAAATCCCTCCAGTAGTTTTTCTGTGATGCGGTAACAGACAGACAGACAAAAATTCTAAAAACTATAGATTCGGCCTCTGTATTGATAATAATGTTTATTTCAATAAGATTTTCCAAAAAATATTTATTTATTATATGTACAGATTTGGTTTAGTTACAATTTTATTATATGTATATATACAATAAAATCATTTTCTGCTCAATAGTCGCATGCGGTCCCGAACTGTGGAGTATTAGGGCCTGCTACTTGTTTATTTATAGAACTAGCAACCTGCGTCGCCATCGCTCGGCTTGTTTTTATAGTTTTACACTTCCCAACACACTGTCCATTTAAAGGCTGAAATTAGAAAAGACGTTGGTATACTTCGTACGTCGTTAATCGTTCTTCTCTCTCTCTCTTCGTTATCATTAATTTTCGCAAAGAGTATAAATATTAGCATTTAAGAATCAAAACATCTATTTTCACTCCATTAGAGTAGACAAAAACATCTACACGCCCGCTATCGACGCCATGTATCAAAATAAATCACTGTAAGAGCAAAGGTAACAAACATACCTGCTGTAACAATCGGCCGCCGAGTGCAGCAAAGGCGCTTTTACATATACCTAGACTACCATAGGATACTTTTACGTTCTAGTATACCTACTACATGCACGGTAATGTATGTGACATTACCGTGTTACACGTTTGCGAAATAAAATATAGATGGACAATAACATATAAAAAATAACAATATTATCTTTATATAAAGTACGTGTTTTTTTTCTTAGTATCTAATGAATATTTATTGATTTGCGACGCGCGTTACCACAACCTTAGTATAAAAGGGGCAACAAACCTTAAAAGATCGTCGTAAATTTCTTTCTTTTAACTTATGTTGTAATGTAGTGCAGGTTGTTGAAAAATTTAATAGTGTAATCCCTACTTCCAAACTAATATTATAAATATGAAAGTGTGTTTGTTTATTTGTTTGTTTGTTTGTTCGTTCGTTTGTTTATTTGTTTGTCCTTCTTTCACGTCGAAACGGAGTGACGGATTGGCGTGATTTTTTGTGTAAACACATAGGCTAAGTACGTATTTTAGCATTTTTCGAAATTCACCCCATAAGGGAGGAAGGGATGTTTGTACGAAACCTATCTAATATACGAAACCTACCTTAGCTTTAAAATATAAAATAGAACAATAACGTTTATCAGATTTTTCCGAAATTTATCTCTTAAAAGGGTACAAGGTTGTAATATTTGGGGGTAAAATTTATTTTATGACCAGAATTACTTGAAACTTGGTATTAATTAATCAATTCAATGAAATTTTTGTAATTAATTTTAACATTTATGTAATTCACCCCGTAAGGGTGATAAAGTTGGTAAAAATCCACCATGTTTACTGATAAAATTAAGTATTCAAAATAAAAAAAATTGCAATAAGTGGTATCATCAGATTATTATCAGATTATTTGAAATTCGTCCCCTGAGAGGGTAAAAATATAAAAAAAGTGTGTTTTTTAAGAAACACTAGCTTATTTTTGCAAGTAGGTAATAAAGTTGTAAATATTGTGAAACTGTTAAAAAAATATTTTAGTGCGTAAAGAATAAAAATATTAGTAAAACAACGCAATATTCTGCAGTACGGAACCTTCGATGCTCGAGACAAAATCATACTCACACATTTGAAAATCATTACAGCCATCAAATTATTATTAGTTATAACATTAAGCCAAAGAGTTTGTTCTTTTAGTGGTTTGAACGCGGTCGAAGCCGCGGGCACTGCTGCTAGTAATTTAATATTTATAACGTACATTAAAATAAACAAATATTCAGAAAACAAAACGTCCATATATATGCTTATTTTAATGTAAGTTATAAATATTATTACCTACGTACGATCAATATCGAATTGATTATTCTTTTTCCATGCAATTATTGGTATTTGCTTGCAACTGATGTTATGTAACCGTGTGGTATTTTAATCGTCACTCTAGAAAGTACTAAACAAAATCTTAATCAAAACACTCAAGTGCGAACTCGTGACTCGTCCTAGCTGTTCTCTTGCCTACATCGGGCGGGCTCCCCCTACTTCTCACCGGCGCAGCGTGGCGTAGGGAAATCCTAAGAGAAACGAGTGACTTTCTAAAGCGAACTGGTCTGAGAGGGGAGAGGAGGGAGGAGGGTATTCACGTGCTTCATCGTCACCTGGCTTCCGCCGCATCAATGGACACGTTCCTCCTCCCTCGTGGTCAGATGACGACCCGCCCTCGAGTCGCCCCACTCGTCGGACCGGTCCCGCGGCCGGCCGGCGCCGGCGCACTCACCGCTACGCCGCGCATGCACGGGACATTGGTGTATGCATCTCTCACGCTGGAGCGATAAATTGAATTCGTGCCCAGTGCGTCACAACTCACAAGTAACCAGCACAATGTACGAGTATGTGTATTAAATCTTCTAAGGTCATTGTAATTTAATGTCACTGACGAGGCTTTTTGCTTTAAACAGCGAATCATTTGTTGAATGAATATGAAATGTTTAGAAAGAACATAACTTTGTCAAGTCCTTCACATGAAATATGTCTTCATATATACAGACAAAACAGAATAACTTAGAAGACAAAGATGGCAGAATGCCAAAAACTATCCTCAGATATTTTTTTATAATTATACGTATTTTCTTTATAAATGAGCTATATTTATGTACTCTTACCACGCATTTGGCAACAAAAAATATTTAAAATTTTACATAGTTATTATATATTTGGCAAATCACGAAAAATTTTATAACTAATGAGAGTTAGATTACCGTTATGAATTTTTATGTACCTATATCTATTTTCTATATTTTAATTTAAAAGTATTTATTAACTAGCGACTCACCCTCGCTTCGCCCGGTTTCGTCCCGAGTTTGATTCCCCATGCAAACTTTCATCCTGATTTTCACACCCTAAGAGGGGTGATTATCGGTATTAAAAAGTATCCTATGTCCTTCCCAGGGTCTTAAAGTATCTTCTTACCAAATTTCATCTAAATCGGTTCAGTAGATCCAGAGATTACCCCCTACAGCGTCACAAACTCACAAACTTTACCTCTTTATAATATTAGTATAGATTAGCGACTTACCCTTGCTTTGCTCGGGTTCGTCCCTTTCTATAAATAGGTATATTTAATCTTAATTTTATGTAGTTACGAGTACCTATATATCATAAGGAGCCATTCAAGTTGTACAACAAATGAATCTAATCTAAATATTTAATTACAATTTCTTTTTTTTTAAATAAACTTGTACTTGGTTGTCAGTGCAGTCCGTACAACAACGAAGATCATATTTTTAAAGATATTTGTCGTAGGTCGATATGTACGTTGGCTAGTACACGAAAGTAATCGTGTGAGGAGATGAGATCTCACCAGTCATCAGCACGTCGGAGCAAGCCAAAAATTATTTCTCTAATTTCTAAAAAATAAAATCTAAATGCTAGCGTTGATTGTAATTACGGTACATTCTATTGTTTTGTTTTCTTTATTTAATATGGACAAAACTGCTAGTTTTGTATGCGATGCGATATAATATGTAGTATAGCACGTACAAAGGCACGCTTGTACTTTACTTTTAGATATATAATCTTTATACTTATAATTGTATACATACATATAATTATTGTACATACTACGTGAAATGGAAACAACACTTCACACGGAGTCAATTACTGGATTTGTTTTCTACTTGTTACTTGTGCTCTTTGTTTGTTTATTGGTTACAATTTAATAAGTCAATTTGAAATTGTTTATACACCATTATTAGGGGCAGAAGTTTTTCTTGATTTTATTTAAAACCATCGTCGACCAAAATCTCCTAGTATTTTAAGTCGTTCAATATAGGTACATATGTACTATATGCGCGCGTCTTCTTGCTATGGCAGACTCGTTGATCTACCTACTATGTATGAAATTCTCTAGTTTTCTGTGGTTTGATCCAGTGTCAGTTACACTTACGTATTAACAGTACATAAGTGATGGTAACATTAGTGATGGAGATATATTATATTTACATATATGAATTTAATTCATGTTTTATTTACTATTTATTTGAACTAAATTTACCAGCTATCGTCTAATATTTTGCTATTTTATACAACATCGAATTTTATAATCATTAGGAAATAAATTATACAATTAAGTGTAATACTTTGAAAGCAAAATAGTGCTTAATGAGTTCAGTGAACGCATTAAAATAAGCATTACCCGTTGACTGAAAAGAAACGTACCGGCCTTCTGTTCTCGACTCCTCGGAGCCGCGCGGGCCGACGGCCGAGGCGCGGGCGACTCCTACGACGCAACACAATATTCCATATTGATTCATTAAATTGTATCGGATCTGTTATCGGCATCTAGTACTAAAATAGAACGTTCCAATGAATCAGTGATTGTTTCGCATCATGTGACCGCTAATATTCCCCGCCGCCTGCTCCGCGCCTGCCCCGTGCCTGCCCCGGCCCCCGAGCGCTGTCCTCCTCGTATATGTAACTGTAGTGTCGTCAACTTAATTTGTACTAAAAATTTAAAATGTTGTAATAAACGATGCATTTCTATTACCATAATATTTGTTTTATTCGCACGGCGCGTTGGCTCTGCGATCCGCGTCCGGATTTCACTGAAATTCGTAATAATGTCGTACGGAAAGCCGTTACAGCGTGGAAAATTAACAAACACACACACACACACCTCAAATCCTCGCGAAAGAAAACCGATATCGCCCTAGAATGATTCGAGAAGCCATAGAAATTAAAAAACATCCAAATTTCAATAGGGAAGATGGCTGGGTACTACCATCGTCATGGGATCCTGTTATTAATATAATAAACTCAAATAATAAATCTAAACATAACAGACAGGTAGCTGTAGTAAGTTCTTACTGTGTGGATCAAAATGATAGCATTTCAGATAAATATTTTTCGTTTTTCATTTGTAGAAGTATATAGTGTTGCTTAGTAAATTGTCTTTTTAAATAATAGCAAACTAAATTAAAATTATTATTCTTATTAAATTTTAACTTTTTAATTTACACATAGAACAATTACGTGGCTTAAATAATAATTAATATTATATTTTAAATTTTTTCTTTATGGTTATAAATATAATAATGGCAACATATAGATTACTAATTAATATTTTTAAAATTGTAATAATTATTAATGATAACAGCAAAAATTAAATAAATAGTATTCCATATTTAATTATAAAACTAATTAAAATTATAAAAATGTTTAAAGTTATAAAATATTGTATGGTACTTGGTACAATTTTTCATTTTGTTAATTGTGGGTAGGCTGTCTGTAACAACTATACCTTCAAGACATGTAACACCTCAGTCTCTCCCGTGACCATGGATGCTGTAAAGCATTCGAAACGTTAGGAACCAAAAATCAAAATAAATCCGCGAAATAATCCGAAAAGTTAGTTTTATTTTATTTAAACTGTTCAACTTATTTTCTGAGTTTAATAACAGGTATATTCTTTCTGTATTTTTATTTAAATATAGCATAATACTACAGTAGGTATGTAGATAGTGTATTAATTACTCAATACGCAGTCGGCAGCCGCGTAAAACCGCCGGCGAATACTAGTGTTTAATAAGATAATTTAATATTGAACTTTCTTACATAAGGAAAAATCTTTTAATCTATAGGTACTTATATTATAAAGGGGCAGAGTTTGTTTGTCTGTCTGTTTGTTTTTTTGTTTGTTTGTTTGTTTGTTTGTTTGTTTGTTTGTTTGTTTGTTTGTTTGTTTGTTTGTTTGTTTGTTTGAACGCGTTAATCTCAGGAACTACTAATCCGATTTGAAAATTTCTTTTTGCATTAGATACTAGCCCTTTTATTGAGGAAGACTAAATATCATGATGCTACTACCCAAGGGAACGGGGCAGTAATCAAAAGTGTCAACAAATCGGGCAGACTTCCATACATTATTGTAAAACTGATATTTATTATAATCAAACAAATTTGACGCGGGTGAAACCGCGAGGCACAGCTATTTATTAATAAAACTTCTTAGAAAAGAAAATTCACAATGAGATTTTCATTTACAAAAATATCTTTTAAAAAGTTCTCATCACGCCATATATTGTTTTGATGAATAATTCGCCATTAATGTAATGATGACTCCACTTGTTCGCCTTGAGGACTTGCGTATCGGTGTGTTTTATTACCTAATATATTTTATAATTAACGCTAATGATATATTATTTTCTTTTTTGGGTAATTAGTTTAAAAATATTCCTTATCATTGCTAATTATGTGAACAGAACAGGCTATTAGGAGATTGAACATAATCATTAGCTAAATTACGAAGGAGACAGCTTACAAATGTGCTAATAATCCATACTAATACATATATAAATGCGAAAGTAACTCTGTCTGTCTATCTATCCGTTACCTTTTCACGCTTAATCCGCTGAACTTATTTAGAGGAAATTTGTTATGGAGATAGTTTGAGACCCTGGGAAGGACATAGGATAGTTTTTAACCCGGAAATCATCCCTTAAGGCGGTGAAAAAGGGGAGTAGAACTTTGTATGGGGAATCAATCATTTCTCAAGTAAGGGATATAAAACTCATCATACTATATAGTCTATGTATTCCATACTAACCGATATAAGGTATGCAGGGACGAACCCGAGCGAAGCGAGGGTGAGTCGCTAGTATTATATAAAAATATAATTTCCTTGAAACAAGGACAACATTGAAGACATTTATTATTTAATCTAGAAATCTAGTCGATGTCCGAACGAAAGAGTTCAACGCATAGGTCGGCGCGTGCGCTCTGGGTCACGTGTCTCCCGGCGGCTGGTCTTCATGACTCGCAATGGCATGTCCGGGGGTGCGCTACTTGGTGGTTTGCAAATACATATGTATATCTAAGCACAGTTTAATCCTTTGTGTTTTTAGAACTGTTTGAGAATTAGGAGAATTGAACTGTTATCTTCAACTGTTGTTCGCGCACAGGCAATGACTTATCAGAAAGGTGCATGATACTGATAGTGAGCAGTAGGTCGTTGCGGCTGCGACGCGGTCAGCGAACTCCGCACGCTGCGTGCTTCTCGCGACCTCAATGCGTCCGCAAAAATGTTATTAAGAGGCTTACTATTCTTATCATTGCATGTTAATTACCTGTTAAAGAAAATATGTAAATAGTGTAAATTATCAGAATAATCGTTTATAGATAATATTACTTAATGTATTTATGCTATACACATAATATTTTGAGGAGGTGATGGAGACTAAACAACTAATAGTTAATCTGTTGTTTTCGACCTTTCCATCGAGACACCTCTGGATAAGCTCTTTTGTAAAAGTTTTTAAGTTATATAGTTAGTTATAAACATAACATAAAATGTTTGTTTAACAAGTTACTAATATCCTAAAACATCGTCAATTCAATTAATAACTTCATTATATTATTTGGAATACCAAGGCTTCCTGTGCTCTTTACATCCCACGACCCGTCGTACCTAACGCCGAACGGCAACACAGTGAGTGACATTTCAAAAATAAATAAAGTAGTATCGGTCGGGCGCATGCACGTAGCGGGGCAGAGCGTGCGATGACGTCACAGCTAGGTCCGCGCGTCACGTGAGTGCACCCGCTCTCACCGCGCGGCCCGGGACCGGTCCTCGCAGACTAAACACCCTTATTGTAATACTTGATGACAGCATAAAGGAATTTTATGGTTTAATACCAACGGCTTCTTATGATGACTCTGATTCCCAGAATACTATATATAAAGGTGCCCTCTATAAATCAAATTGAAGGATACATTGCATACTGCTTAATTATGAGTTTAAGACATAAACCTGGCAGGCGACAACAACATGGGGATAATATAATAGTAAACCAAGTTAATTTAAATAAGAGAAAGTAGTTTGAAATGACAGCGACTAAATGGATCTAGTCGAACTAAATACGCGTAATGTGGATTATGCTACAAGTAATCGATATTATACTAGCATTGCCCGCGGCTCCGCCCGCGTTCAGATGACCAGAAACCAAATTCTTAGATTTTACAGATTAGTATAGTCTTACATTGCAGTTTTTCATGTTTTTTTTTGAAATGAGATATTTTCCCGCGGTAAAATGTATCCTATATGTTGACCCGGAGAACCAGCTATCACCATACCAAATTTCATCAAAATCCCTCCAGTGGTTTTTCTGTTATGCGGTAACAGACAGACAGACAAAAACTGTAATAACTAAAGATTCGGCCTCTATATCGATAATAATGTCTATTTCAATAAGATTTTCCAAAAAATATTTTAATGTACAGATTTGGCTTAGTTACAATTTTATTATATGTATAAATTTGAATTTTGCTATCAGCCTCAGTGCGGCTCGCACTCGGCACAGAGTCTGATTGAATTGAAAGATTTTATTAAATTGCTAAATTCTTTTCACCTTTACCTACTTAGTGTTACGAGCGTTAAGTGTAAAGTAGGAATTCATTTATATTTTAAATTTACCGCTTATTATAGTTGCTTGAAAATTACCATGTTCTTGACTTGTCATTTTATGTTTGATTTACAATATTGTAATTTTATTGTATTGTAATTTCAACCTATAATATTGATTTAGTATTATACGGTTGATGTTTTCGGACGAAATCTAAATTTACATTGATAACTGTTTTGGTATCCATATATGTATTTATACTAAATGTAGATACTCCTACGGAAGCCCTGCATTCTGTTAAGATACGAGTACGTCATACGACGAATTCTAAAAAAAGTTACAAATTCCTAATTCAGTCGTGCTAGATGTATTTTCAACCGACTTCCTTAAAAAGGAGGAAGTTCTCAATTCGGCTGTATTTTTTTTATGTTTGTTACCTCAGAACTCCGTCATTTATTAACCGATTTGGTCAATTTTTGTTTTTTTTGAAAGTGTATACTTCCAGATTGGTTCCATTTAAATTTCAAAAAAAATAAATACCACCCCTAAGGGTGGAAAAATAGCTAATGATGAATTTAACCTACTTCTAATTGTCATATTGACTTAAAACTTTGCAAGTGTTTCTATTTCCGTTGATAGTACAGTGGTTCGGTATTGTTGACCTGATCTGATGGCAAGGCCAGAAGGTGTAACTCTTCAACGGCTAATAGTACATACTTTGAGTTTGGGCTTATTTTGTTTGATTTGACAAGCCTAATACGTTAGAATTCTTACTTTTCTACTACTGTGTACACTAAAAAGGGAAAAATAAAAACTTTTTAACAAAAAAATAAAAACCGACTTCAAACAAAAGCACTAAAAAGTAAAAAATAACTGATTGGTAGTTTTCAATCACTATACATAGGTACCTAATCAAATAATTTCGAAGTCGGTGCTAGCCGATAGAAAGCAAAGCACACCGATGTATATTTCAAATATTTTTATATCTATAGAAATGAATTATTTCTTACGGGCGGGAGTTGTAAAATATAATATGTATTAATGTTAATTAAATATTATTTTTTACATATAATTTGAATTTTGCTTTACTGGCAGCCTCGAGCTTACTTACCCATGGATGTTTCCAACACTTCACAAATTTAGTTTTGTAACCTCGTGAAACACCCACCAATATTTGGTTAGTTCTCTTATGTAGGTATATTCGATACGTTGCATTTTCAATATGAATCATATTATTTGAACTATGTAAATATCTGAATCTATTTAATGATACAAAAAATGAGTACGTTTACTTTGTGTGGAATTGAGTAATATTGACTCATATGCGGGTTATCTATATAAGTAGGTATATTCTTATGTTAATAAAATAAATGTAACTACGATATTTTAAAGAGGAATTGTTTAGTTTCTTACCGGCCCTTCTCAGCAAAACTGCTCTTCGAGCCGGTGGTAGCTTCCTCACGGACTGACTACATTGACGCTTACAATTCAAAAGCACTTGTAATAAGTCTAATTGAATAACGTTTATTTCAATTATTTGTTTTACTTTACTCTGTGTTGCTTGCAAATACTTGAATCATAATTTTATGGTGCAATAATAAAAAAATAATAATATTTAAATAGAAACAATCCCTAAAAAAGGTGGATGCGTCCTTATCATAGGCATAGGCCGAATCCTGTCACATCTTGGGAACTTGACGAGTGTTGTGATTTAGCTGCCGTGTCGGGGCGCTTTGCACTTTGCGAAGCGCTGCCGGGCCCGGGGGCGCGCGGTGCGGCGCGGAGAGCGCGGGGGGAGGGGCCGGCGCGCAGCCTCCGCGGCGCATCTCCCTGCACGCTCGCCGCCGGCCGTCGGCCCGCCGTACCGCCGCGCCGTCAGTCGCGCTCAGCCCGCGGTACTGTTAGCACGCGCCCACGCCCCGCGCTCCCGCCACGCCGCAGCACGCGCAGCCTCAACACGCCGCCGCCGTCGCCGCAGTGTCCCTCGTCGCCCCGCGGCATGTGCACCTGACACCGGCCCCAATATCGTCTGCATCACGATCCACGCATCAAGAACAAGTGAGTGCTTCTGGAGTGGGAAACTGCAACCCTAGTAGTTTGAGTGCGACCGTCCTGTTGCGAGCACCTGTAGCAAGCAACATTTGCCTTGGAGTTCTATGATAAGAGCAGTGTTTATCGTTTGTATAAATTTATACTACAATTTGAATTCCATATTAACTGCGATTCGCGTTGCCAATATTTCCTTGATTTGATAAGTCCTCAAGTACAAAATATTAGAGAATTCGAAATTGTCTAATATGTTCAATACGTAATTTTAAGAATGAATGTTGTGATATGAATTGGCAATTTTACATTAATTAAAAGTCTAGTTTATAATGTCCAATATAATTATAATGTCCACGGTAGAAACTTGTTGAGGGAGACCTAAGTCCTTTAAATAATTTGGATCTTAAATTACACTTATGTAATTACAGCTGCCAAAAGCAGGTAAATTAAATTTACATTGGGGGAAAAATAATAATGTCATCTTCTTAAAATGTTCACGAGCTTGTTGCTTCAAACTAGGTACTGAAAGAAACCTGTCGACAGACATAATAAACTTTTTATTTGAAATCGTATTTTATAATTATTTTTTTATATCTCCTTTACTGTTATTTTAATTCCTTTGCGAGGTAGACCGATTATTTCTAAAAATGGTAATGAAACAATAAAGTTTGAGCTTAAAAGAAAGGTCGATAATAAATATCAGTGTGTTGCAAATTAAGTGGATTTTATATCGGACAATTCGTTTATCAAAATTACCTATCAATAAAAATTTTATAATATTCGTTACACTTTGAGTTATTAATATTCTATCTCCATACGGGAAATTTCTCGACTTCATTATTCCACCTACTCTACAGAACTTTGTACACAGCCACTGTAGTCCAATTGTACCCATGACTCGATTAATTTTACCCAATTGTTTCGATGCGGTTGTGTGGTGTGTTACAATTTGGGATAAGCAATTGTTGTTGATGCCAACTAAATACTTATAACATCCATGGCCCCATTATTAGATTTCGCCAATATTTAAGCTCTATGCGAACGTAACTAAATACGATATACCTACCTACGCCTATCGGGAATTACTCATGTGACGTATCGTAATTATATTATCGGCCTTTAAATTGTCTCTTTCCCTTTAATCGATTGTACATCTGCGCCGTTAGCCGATACTAACGACGATACGAGCGATAACCGACACCCGCATACTTACCATGAACTTGTCCAAGCATCGTATTTATTGTACTATGTAATAATATAATATATAAATATACATACATACCTAATTAGCACTTAAACGCATGAAAGAGTCACTAATCAATTTTGTCAAACTGCTCTCGGCATGCTTCCTGCGCGTGAACAGGACATTATAAAATTTCATTACCATAACACTACCATGAAAAGTTAAGGAAAAACCTCTAAAAGCTCTAAGCGTGCAACCGCAACAGTTGCCACGATATCTTAGCCCGGTTCACGGCTATAGGTACTCGCTGCACTTCGGTACATATGTATGTATTGCAAGTGCTTCACATGGTTGTTTTAATTAGGTTGTTAGATTACTCACAAATATTTTGAACAAAAAATAGTAGTCAGTACTCTAATAATACTATATTATCTACTAGCATTGCCCGCGGCTCCGCCTCGTTCAGGTGACCAAAAACCAAGTTCTTAAGTTTTACATATTAGTATACTCTTAAAAAACATTAATTAATTAATTAATGAATACTAGGAGCAAACACAAACTTGTCATGCCTGTGACTCATCTACACAGATTCAGTAATTCTTTTTATGGACAATGTATACGCTTGTACAACAGGATCCCAGAAAATGGTCAAAAAGCTTCCATAGCCAAATTAAAAAAAAAAAGTTAAAGAACGTTTGTGTGCTAAAGGTTATTATACAATAAATGATTTTATAGAAGATGGCACACCTTGGGAATGAAATGATCGCCTCCAGGCTACTTCAACTTGATAAAAATATTGTAAATTATAATTTAACTTAAAAAAAAGATAACGGGTTAATATTAGTCCCGCTGAGTTTCTTTCGCCAGTTCTTCTCAGGTCTGGGGCTTCTTCTTTCTGAACTGGTAGTAGACTCGTGACGTTCAGTAAAAAATTGTAATAATTTAAAGCTGAATAAAATATTTTGAATATGAATTTGTTCGGTATTCGGCTGAGTAGTATCTAGATATTGGGTATCCGGTCGGAATAGGAAAAAAGTAGCCGAATAGGCCGAATATCGAATAATTCGTTGCAAGTCTAATTATTAACTAAAACATATTTTTAGAAGCCTTAAAGGCTTATAAAAAAATGGAAGTGTTATGAATAATAGTATATTATAACTTTTGCTTTACTATTTTAGAATGATCCCAAGACGTAAACACAACGCGTCGTCCGGCTCCCTGCCGCCGCCGGACGACAAACACGCCAGCAATGACTACATCCGTAAGTTTGTCAACTCTTAAATACTACATCTGACTGCTATAATTAAAAAAAAAAGATTGTGTGCAAGTGTTTCTGTGCTCAGTCTATTGCTAACTAACCTCACGCTGAAATGGTTGGACGAGACAGATTTGAATGAGTACACAGATATACTATGATGTAAAGTACCACATTGGCTACTATTAGGCACTTGGGGACGCATTTGATTGAAGCGAGGGTTAGTTGCACTATTATTACCTATTATTATTTACTAACTAGCGACTCACCCTCGCTTCGCTCGGGTTTGTCCTTAGGTTAATTCCCCATACAAATTATCATCCACATTTTCACCCCCTTAAAGGAAGATTTCCAGTATAATAGGTACTATATGTCCTTCCCAGGGTCTCAAACTATCTTCTTACCTAATTTCATCTATATCGGTTCAGTAGATCCAGAGATTACCCCCTAAAATGTCACAAACTGTTAATTCACAAACTCACAAACTTTACCTCTATAATATTAGTATAGACTAGCATTGCCCGCGGCTCCGCCCGCGTTCAGATGACCAAAAACTAAATTCTTAGGTTTTTATTATTAGAAAATACTCTTACATTGCAGTTTTTGTATTTTTTTTCAGAAATGAGATATTTTCTCACGGTAAAAAGTATCCTATATGTTGATCCGGATAACCAGCTATCATCATACCAAATTTCATCAAAATCCCTCCAGTGCTTTTCTGTGATGCGGTAACAGACAGACAGACATACAAAAAATCTAAAAACTATAGATTCGGCCGCTGTATCGATAATAATGTCTATTTCAATAAGATTTTCTAAAAAATATTTAATGTACAGATTCGACTTAGTTAAAATTTTATTATATAATATATAGAATATATAGAAAAATATTTATTTTATAATATGTAATGTGTTCTTTGTTAAAGAACAATTTAATCAAATTACGATTGTAGACAACTGCGCAGTTTTTGCATAAACGATACACAATGACTTGGTGTATTTACTTCAAGTGAGGTATGAAATTGATTTGAGGTTGTTACGAGTAATTCGCCTAACAAATGGTTTAAAGATAGAAGTGAGCCTTCGCCGCGCGGCCGTGATCTTGACCGAAGTTGTCGCCTCCTGCAGACCTCTCACATTGAAACTCACTTGATCTCGTTTTAATTAACAATGAAACCAATCCGCTCGCTTCGCATTATTGATTTTATTTTATATTAATGAAAATTGTACTCATGTTACCTACATAATAATTTTATTATATGTCACCTACGAATATGTTTCTGTATTGTTGGCAATTTCAATGTGACGAAAATATTATGTAGCAATTAGTAAAAGAGATAGATATCATATCAGTAAAGTTTGTTATTCGAAAAGTAACGATTGATTTGCTTCCAGTGTCAGATGGCGGCGCGCGGGACGGGTGGCGCGCGGCGTTAAAAAGACGCTTCAACCGAAAAACTCTTCACAAGCGTATCCCTATAAGCTCCTGGTTACCGCAGTAAGTTTTACTTTCTTATTTCTGCTATTTTAAATGAAAAATATTGTATTATTATTAATATATTTATTGTTGTATATTATTTAATATTTACAAAAAAGTAGTTAAAACATTTACCAATCAACAGGTACAACACAGAAAAGGCAATTGGTGACGTAATTGCTGGCGTTACAGTTGGATTGACGGTGATTCCACAGTCACTTGCATACTCTAACATAGCCGGGCTGCCTCCACAGTACGGCTTGTACGGTTCCTTCCTGGGTTGCTTCGTGTACATCGTGCTGGGCGGCTGCCGCGCCGTGCCCGCCGGCCCGACCGCCATCGCGTCCCTGCTGACGTGGCAGGTAGCGGGAGGCGTGATTGAGAAAGCTATCTTGCTCAATTTTCTCACTGGCCTCGTAGAACTGTTGATGGGCGTGCTCGGGCTCGGATTCCTAATTAACTTCGTGTCGGGTCCCGTGTCGTCCGGGTTCACGTCGGCCGTGGCGCTAATGATAGCTACGTCTCAAGTGAAGGACCTGTTCGCCATAACAGTGACTGGTACGACATTCCTACAACAATGGATTTCTGTTTTCCGCAACATACACAACGCTTCACTGTGGGATCCAGTGCTCGGATTCGTCTGTATTGCACTCCTCCTATCCATGAGAGTAAGTTAAATGTATTTACGTTTAATTTTAATATATACATATCATAAAACAAAGTTCCCCACCGCATTTGTCTGTCTGGCTGAATGGGATAAACTAAAAAACTACCGAACAGATTTTCGTACGATTTTCACCAATGGACGGAGTGATTCATGATTCAGGTTTAGGTGTATAAGGTTTTGTGTAAATTGGCTGAAATATGATGATGATTGTTGAAGATTTCGGAAAAAATCATGCCGAATAAGAAGCTTTTCTGCGTTTGGCGCGCGTACGCCGCGTAAACTATTGCAGGCAGAACCACTGTTCTAACTTCTAATAAATTATAAAACATAAAAATTATTACAAAAAGTCTGCGATAGCATCTATCTTTTAAGGTGGACCAATTTTATGGTTTTCAAATTGAGTCTAAAATAATGCTTATTTGCGAAGGTGTTTTTACTGACATTGCGGTAATACTTATCTAAATAAATACGTTAGATAACTTAAGCACTTAATTTAGATTAAAACTGACCTGTAATCTATTTAAATAAGATGAATATCTTAAAAGATATCACAGAATTAAAATAACTCGCAAAACATAATAATATCCTAACGACGATGAGACTACAACGGGGACAGTGCCGGACGGGGACGAGGCGGGTCCTAGCATGTCGCTCGCCGACGCAACCGTAGATATACAGTGTGTTAAAAAAACCCTGTCCGATCGGAAACCAGGGTATAGGTATCCCAATCACATGACCAAATAAAATAAGAAATATAAAATATTCATGATAGTAAACATATTAATGAAATTTAAAAAGTTCATTTATTTTGCTAATTTCCCCACAATTCTAGGAAATTTTATAAATGTACAACACTAATTTCGGCGGTATTATAATCATGTGGCGGCGGCATCTTTGATGTGTGCCGACAGACGATGCGCCGCCCGTTGTCAAAGGTACCGCTCGGCACGTGTAGAGGCTATCCCGACCTTGAATTACATACTTACGATCACTATTTGTTTGCTTTATTATTTATTTCACTTAAAATTATGTCAGTTTCGCGAAATATTGCATCCGAGTGCACGTCTTGGAGAAATTGAGTTTTAACTATGTCGTATACGAATGAAGAGTACTGTAATATAATAATGTGTTTGGGGAGGAGTGACTGCAATTATGCAGAGGCTCATAGGGACTATGAAGTGCGTTTCGCAGTTCCGCGGGGTACCACGGTGCCGTCAGAGCGTGCGGTTCAACGTCTTCACAATCGTATGTACACCACGAGCAGTGTTCACGACTACGAAACGCATCATGCTGATACAAGGACACCGCGTATCGACATGGATATTGAAGAGCAAGTGCTTATGTTATTCAATGAGGACCCCACCCGAAGTACTCGTTCTGTGGCACGACAACTGGGCGCTTACCACGTTCAGGTGTGGGAAGTGTTAAAAGAAGATGGCCAGCATCCTTTCCACTACCGTCCTGTCCAAGCTTTACTACCCAGTGATTATGAACCCAGAGTGGAATATTGTGCATGGATTTTAAGGAAAATTGAAGAGGACGCTGAATTTTTAAAAAGGGTTATTTTCACCAATGAATGTACTTTTCATAGAACAGGCGTCTTTAACAGCCGGAATGAATATGTGTGGTCGACGCTAAATCCTTACGCCCATAATCCGTGATAACCTTTTGCGACGGTGTGAAGCCTGTATCACTAGTAGAGGCCGTCACATGGAACAACATCTCCATCACAGCCATCGCATTGGCGTCCTCATCGAATAACATACTACCTACTTACAAAATACAAATTGATAAGCGTAGTTTGAACTTTGAGGTCAACTGCGTTCATGACCTTATGACGTCACCAGTATTGCTATGTAAGTTTCACAATGTATGAAATATTTTAAATTTTTAAGCGGGGTAATTTTTTTTTACTTGGAATCTGTTTTTTTTAACATAAATAGAATCGAATCGCGATACCTAATAATACCTTCACGGGTCGGACAGGGTTTTTTTAACACACTGTATATTGTAGGCCACCTAAATAAAGGGTATAGTTTATTCCTGAAATATTTAGGTAAATCGAAAACCCTTAAAAATTAATTCAACTTTACGTTGCATAAAGTTTTTTAATAGAGTTATTATAAAAACCATGTAATAAGGAATTATCCGCACCTAGGCACCTAGGAACGCACGTAAGTCGCTAGTATAGAATACATAGAAAACATCTCAATCGTGACACACACACTGCTTAAAAAGACCAAATAAATATAAGAAAAGAACAACTTATAGATAAAGAATCTATTAAGCATTAATTAAAAAAATATACACACCAGAAAAACAGAATAAGTACGAACGTATATTACAAAAAGAAAGGCCACTGAGTTTTCAAATTCCAGTGACCGCCTTAGAGGGAATCCTGTGAACAAAAGTACCAGCTATACGTACATTTATATTATATTATTTATAACAAAGTAAAATAAACAGATAAAGACATACTTTTAAAATGTTTTAACTTTTAAGGAGATATTGCAAACATGTGTGACATCGAGTCACTTGGTAGTAAGACTTACCATTTTCCCATCAAACAATCACGTATATGTATATTGTATATGTAGTAAATACATGTAATTATCTCGTAATTATCACAAAGATAACCTGATCAGTTATAGACTCTGCGTTGAATTTAACTTTAAAGTTTCTAGACATAAAGTTACGTCATAAATGATACATATTTTACTAATGATATGCAATTTTCCGCTTTCACTATTATTTCGAGTGTTGTAAGTGTAATATCTCCTGTTTTAGAAAATCGGAATGGTGAAGCTTGGCACCAAGTGCGAGGATGGGCCGAGCACGCGGCAGAAAGTATTGACCAAGTGCCTATGGCTGGTGGGGACGTGTCGCAACGCCATCGTGGTGGTGTTGAGCGGTGCGCTCGGCTTCTGGTTCGTCACCACGCACGGCTCGTCCCCGGTGCGCCTCATGGGTGAGCTCTACATCTATTTTTAGCTAAATATAATTTACAGTGTTCTGTAATTGATAACTATTTTTTTGTTCACGCTTTCTCTAGCCGAAAACGTACAAGGTGATTAGTATCCTAATACAAGAAATCACTTCTTGCATTGTAGTTTTAGATTATATTGTAGTTTTCATGAAGCACGTTCCACGTTTTTCACTAGGTACATGATTAGTAGGAACTATAGTCACATTTACGAAATTTACCTATATTTTTTCACTAAAACATCTATATCTATATTTCCAGGAGCGATTCCATCCGGAGTGCCGATGCCGCAACTGCCGCCCTTCGGTTATGTTCGCGCCGATAACACTACAGCGGACTTCTTAGATATGGTTTCTGAGCTCGGATCTGGCCTACTCGTTATACCACTGATCGTGCTGCTGGAAGACATTGCTATTTGCAAAGCTTTCTCCGACGGGCGCACCATCGACGCCACACAGGAGATGATCGCTCTCGGGGTCGCCAACGTCGCCAATTCCTTCATGCAAGCGTATCCCGGAGGTGGTTCCTTAGCTCGGTCGGTGGTCTCTAACGGCTCTGGAGTGAAGACAACATTTAATGGACTTTATACAGGTAAGTTGAAAACAAATAGTTGATGACATATTACATAAGTAGACGTTTGTGTAACTGTTTCATATCGTTTTGATCTTTACTTTAAAAAAATAAAATTAATTATTGTTTTAGGTGTGATAGTCATTCTGGCTCTGCAGTTCTTCACGCAATACTTTGAGTTCATCCCGAAAGCGGCACTCGCTGCTGTTATTATGTCTGCTATACTATTCATGGTTGAATACGACGTCATAAAACCTATGTGGCGAGCAAAGAGTGAGTTTATTTGTAACTTCCTATAACAAACCAGATTTTTTTTTGTGATTTTTTTACAAAGCATTTTATATTTGTTTCAGAGTTAGACTTGATACCTGGTATAGGCACCTTCGTGCTTTGTCTCACTTTACCAATCGAATTGGGAATTCTTACGGGCGTCGTAGTCAACATCATCTTTATCCTATATCATGCAGCACGTCCCAAATTCTCAGTGGAAATGCTTAAAGTAAGTTTTGTAGCGGTATCGTAGTACCCCGACTTTGCTCTGGGGCATCTTAATAGATACATACTATACATACTATAGATATTACATATACCTTAAATGTACTTGTTCTATGCAGATTAATAAATCTAATTAAATGATAACGTGACACCTACTGCTTGTCGAATGTATTGAATGTTATCAGAATATTTCACGAGCGTGCGCACGCTAACTCACAAGAGTTTTATTTCCAAAGCTAAAGAAACATCTGCATCCCCTCCCTCATCTATTAACCTACTTCCGGGATAGAATAAAATTACTCTTGGAAGTTGGATCTCATAAAATATGTTTGACTGCTCTGTAGTATATTAATACTGTCTTTATGTAAAGTGGTAACTGTGTCCTGCGCAGACGGAGCAAGGTGCGGAGTACCTGATGATCACGCCGGACCGCTGCCTGATGTTCCCGTCCGTGGACTACGTACGGCGGCTGGTCACCAAGTGCGCCGCCAGCAGCTCCGTGCCGGTGGTGCTCGAGTGCACGCACATCTACAGCGCCGACTACACCGCCGCCAAGAGCATCGAGCAGCTCACGGCCGACTTCCACGCGCGCCAGCAGCCGCTGTATTTCTACAACGTGAAGCCCTCCGTGTGCTCAATCTTCGAGGCCGTCACCAAGCCCGAGCACTTCGTGGTGTTCTACGAGGACGACGAGCTGGACCGCCTGCTGGCGGCGGACGAGCGCCTGGCGCCGCGCAAGCCGCCGCCGCCGCTGCTCGCCTGACCGACTCCGCCGTGCGACTGACTCTGTTCGACGAATTATTTGACGGAAAGTGTGATATTTAATTGTGGGTTATGTATTAGCGAAGTAGTACCGACGACTGTGGCGGTACGGTTGTAATACGTTTTCTTGAGTGAGTTCCGATTCGATAGTTCTCTAGACGTCGAGGTGGGACTTTTCTTTCGCTAAAATTGTATCCATGCTATATATTTTAGTAAAAATGTAACGTTTCGGGGAGGCCTTTGGCTGTGCTGTGATGGGGGGCGATAGCCCTCACTCGTCAGTATTAGGGCGCGCGCCGCCTGTCGTGTCGCTGTCGTGATCGAGAGAAGCTTTAGTCGACTATTGTCTGCTTATGTTTCGCATAGAATTATTTTTTATAAACTATATTAGTTTGAGAGCGGACCCCATGAGTCCCTTCTATCGTTGTGATTGTAGAGTATAAAATTTAGTATTTATGGTTAATCAAACCGCAACAAATTGTAAAATATTTTATCATTATAATATGTTGATGCTGAAAATATCTAATATGAATCTAATATGACTATTGTAAAAGTAACGAGAAGTGATAGCTGTAGAGTCTTAAAGGTCATTTTATTTATTTTTAGGTAAATGAGTACAAGTTAGAATGTAAATAGAGAAGTAAGATTAGAAAGCGCGAGTGTGCGTGTGAGTGAGAGGCGCTGTGTGCGTCCTTGTGATCCACGACTACAGTACCTATTCAATTTATTTTTATGAATTATTGTATTAAATAAATGAATAATACTATTTTAAACAGAAAAACTAAAGTGATTAACTATATAATGTAAATTAAGAATATGGTGCGTTAAAAAATACGAATGTTTCCCAGTTCCAAGAACAAAATAATTACACTCTTAAAGAGTTTAAACTAATTTTGTTTTATTTCACCTATTTGACTGGTGGTAGCTTTCTACCCGACTGCAGCGAAGCCCAAACGATGGTTATGTGTTTGACCTGTATGTACATATGTTCGATTCTATGTTCCCTAGTAATTGCTAAATGGCTTAACCGATTTTGATGATTCATTCGTCATTCAATTCATCTTGATAACGTGAGTGTCATAGGTTATTTAGATATCATTAAAAATCAAAATGTCGGATCCAAAGCGTCATTTTGTGTGACTTGAAAAAAAATTTTCATCCGAATCAATCTAGTATCAAAATACAAGTTTTTAATAGGTGATTACAAAAAAATACACAACTTATATTATGTTTAAAAATAATTTAGGACAAGAAGTTGTTAAAATAAAAATGTCGAACTGACCAAAACTAAAAAACTTTAAATATTTTCAAAGATAAAAAAACCGACTGCGTAAAAAGCGAACTAAAAAAAAAGAGAACAAATTGACGAAGGAACAACACTACCTAGTCGGAGACATAGTGCGTTTCAGTTTTCAGTTATGGGTTTGGGTTTGATTGGTGCATGTTCTTAGATAGGTGTTAGGGTGACAACTTACCATGGGGCGCTGCAGCACACATTGTTTATGCAAATCAATGTTACCATTCTTCTCCAATACTGCTAGTCCGATTTTGATGCAGTTTTTGATTGGTGCATAATCTTGGATAAGTGTTGCGGTGATAAATTACCAGAGAAGCTGCAGTAAACATTTGTTTGTGCAAAACCAAAACTACTAGTCCGATTTTGATGCGGTTTTCAGTAATGGGCTTGTAGTTGATTAGTGAGGGTTCTTAAATAGGTGTTAAGATAGTAGCTCACTAGAGTGCGCTCCATTAATATATTTTATTTTATAGTAGCTACTACATAATAAGGAAACTTGATAGAAATCGATAGGCAAGTACTTCTGTAGGAAGTAGTGATGTAGAAACTAAAATTTCTTTAGAAAAAAAATTAAAACATACGTCGTACACGATTTAAGCGCAAAAATGTATGTGAGGCAAAAGATGAAGGCAACGTAGTACATACAATAATATGTATGCTCTTTAAAAAGTTAAAATAAAAAGCAAAATCAAAAATTTTGAAAAAACCTACGACGGTTTAAAAGTAATTGAAAAAGGATAAAATAATTTAAAAATCCTCTGATTAAAAAATAAAGGTAACGCGAGATAAACTCAAGCATATCCGTTGGGGGCTGCCATCTAATACAGATAGTCCAGTCCATACAAATATTTGACTTTGCTAATCCGCGCTTACAAACACACACACACACACAGAATTAAAAAAAGGCGACATTTAGCAGCTCTAGTTGTGAATGTAAATGCTCAAAATGATAGATGGCGATAAAAGCTGTCCCCGAGCTGCCGCTGCGCAATGTTGTAGGTACCTCTATGTAAGGCCCCTCAAGGTCACTATGGCAATTACAAATGATATTGTTTAGAATATTGTCTTAGAGACTTGAGTCACGGTAATATTACATATGTTTTTTTTATTTAAGCGCGTGTATTATTAAATTCTAAATCAATTTATATTAAATGTATTAAAGTAAAACAAAATAATTTAATTACATTTATCAATTTTTATATTATATTGGGCGCCATCTGTGAACGGAGTATACATAATTATTTCAAAGATCGTGCTATCACAACGTAGTACCTATTATTGCCGCCATAAATACAAGAATATCATCGAATTTTATATATTTTTTAAAATGCAATATATTTATTCATTATTTAACTTTCCTTAACTTTAAATATTTCTTTAAAATTATATTAAACACATTTTTTTTTTATATTTGGAATTTTAGGTGAACATTGTTAAGAGAATTGAAGTAAAAAAGAAGACGGAAAAATAAGACCTGTTCTAACAACAAACGCTATGGGGTTTAAAATAGACATATTAAGAAATTGTAAATATTTAGCGGAAACAGGGCTATATATATAAGAGAAGACTATACTCAAAAAGTTTTACAAAGAAGGAAAGAGCTACAGGAAGAATACAAAAGGGTGAAAAAATAGTAATGAGAAGAGACAAAATAGTTAGATACTTTATATGCCAAACAAACCCACGAAAATAATTTATTTACTAAGGAATGCAACTATACCTATAAAACCTATTTTTTTCTCCGGAAATTAAAAAAAACACTTGAAAGAAATATTTAAAAAACAGCAAAAAAGTATAAAACATTAGAATCATATTTAGTATCTCCATCTACTTCAAATTTAGCACAAAATAAGCAAATAAAACAGGCTTCTTTCCACGCAATCACGTGTAAGAAAAATATTCCATTCCCTTCCACTACGGCCGGTAAAAGACAACCACCCTCCATCCAAATGAAACACATATATTGGAACATATAATATACGCTCTCTTGTCGCTGAAGACACAAATGAATAATTAGATACTAATAAAATAATAATAATTATTAAATAGTATTATAAAAGCAATATTATTATATTGTAAAAACATTGTAAAAAAGAAGATTTTCGTCATATTATATTATGTCAATAGTAGTTATGATTCATAGTATTCTGTGCCTCCTGTGATGAGTGATATAAGTCGAGTTGTACCCTTTTTGTGATTTTTACATAGCATAATCAGAAAAAAATTAGGATTTTTTTTGGACTAACTCACGTTCTTCTATCTACTATAGTTTCGGAGATAATTTTGTGCAAAGTGATATAAGTGGCAGGATTTTTGCAAAAATATCGTGAATATAGATATATTTCAAGTTGTAACCCCTATAAGTAATTGCCGCACACACTATTTTTCGTGCTTCGTGGTATAAATGCGATTGTATTAATTTTCACATTTTATTTTTTAGTAAATTTATCGTAAATATTGATATTATTAGAGTTATATCACTTTGAACAGATTTTTCTCAATACTGATTAGGGTACAATTCTACATGTACCTACTAATACTAATTCTGTACAAATCAACCTTTGTGTGTAAATGAATATAAATTGAATTGTATCTAAAGCTCAAACCAAATCTAAATAAAAAATGGGCTGCAGTTTAGTATATGGGACGCGGCCCTCGGAGGAGTGAGTAGTATTTTTGGATAGGGGATAGAAAGTCCAAATATATGAAAATTATTTTGAGGAAACAAAAGAGTCAAAAGTTATTGAGACTTAAAGTTACAACATTTCCATACATTATTTAGACGTTACTGCCATTTAGACACTTGGAAATATCAAAATGTCACTTTTAATTAATTTTTTAACTTAACTTTTAACTTTTTATGATTGTTCATTGTGTTTTCTCATTTTCGCGCCAATACATTCACAGATCACACGTTCGCGCCATTTCCCAAAACCCATGCAGAAGATTCGCGCTATTTTTATCTCGTTCATTTTTTACGACCAATCATAATTATAAATAAAACGAAGATTTTTATTTGTTATTCTAATTTTAAGACTAAATATTTAGTACTTGTACTAATAGTTTTGCATAGAAGGAGTCATATTTTTGGAATAAAATACATATTTCTAGACTCCCAACTTGTAAAGGTGCAATGCCTCGGGCGCGACATCACAGTGCGAAATTATACCTACTGGTCAAATTTGAAATAAAACAATTTTACCAAGGTTAAAGATTTATTTGTACTGAAAATATTTAAAAATACGTAGGTAATACATCCGAAAAGGGGAGTTTAAGTCGAAGACTTCTCATAATAAAAATATTCGTCGACACACTCGTAAATGAAGTCTACGGACTATGTTAATTTAATAATACTCACTACGCAATCACAACGATACTTACATCGATCAAAAAAGTACTAGATACAGAATCAGCGACAAAAAATGTCCTCACCGAATGAGCGCTCATTCGAATATTTGAGCGCGTTTCTATTTATTTTTTGTGATAACAACTTTAAGCATTGCATTTAAGGTTCAATTTACATTGTTGTATATTTATTTCGACTAGAATAATTACCTAAACACGATTGGTGACAGCCATGAACGAATTAACCACTGGACCAGACATATAAGCGGACGTACCTTTTACGGTCATGTCAGTAACCAGGGAATTTTAGCCTAGGTCCTTTGTTTCTTGTGTCAGTCTCAAGCACTTACTTGTCAACAAAACATCTCCCAAAAATGACTAAATGTTCTGTTAAATGGTGTAAAAACTATAACGGCGGAAGCAGCACTATTTCTTTTCACTTGTAAATACATTATTTTATTACATTGATTGTTATTTATCACAAAATTTAATTAAAATTAAAATAAAATGTCATATTATCCAACTATGTTAAATATAGTCGATATTTCTATGTATTGTTGACATCTGACAACCATCATAAACGGGCTGGATTATACCATTCAGAACAAATGACAAAACTGTCGAGTGAGTCCATTTGACATCGACTAGTGCTTGACAATGTCGAAAAATATATCGATATTTGACGAAATAACTGAACGAATTGTGTTATTTGTACAGTACAATAACATAAAATACTTTTATCACAGTATCCTACAATCTGATGACAATAAATTTATAAAAATATTTTCTAAATCAAATAAAAATATAAATGCAAAAATTATAATTAGTATGTGTACTTAATTTTTCATTTTATTTTATACCACATTTATATACTTTGGAATATTTTTCCATTGTAATAATAATAAAGATCATTTTATTTCAACACATAAATTACACAAAATCAAACAATAATGTTTTAGCACTAAACTTCTGGGTTGGCGATTTGTAATAAAACACTTTACCACTTGCACTAATTATTTTACTTTCACGATCCAACACTCACTTTTTCACAATTTGCAATCACTTTTTCTTTTTCCTAATTTCACAAATGTTTATTAATTACTGAGCAATATTAGGACAGTGTCACATTTTTATAACTACCCGAGACAATCAATTGCCAATTAAAATAGTCCAATAACAGAATCAACAAAATCACTTTATTTAATTAAATTAGCTTAATATTTTTTTAATCTTTACAAAATAATATTTATTATATATTAATGGAATATACACCCGATATTCATTTGTTTATTAACATTATTATAGGCCAACAGAATCTTGCCATCAATGCCATCGTATTTATATAAATCAAATTAAAAAATAATTATTATTTGACACATTATTATTGCCTCTTTAATTCATTGATTTTAATTTATTATAATAAATACAGATATTTTAAATTAAAAGATGTAAAATATGATGACTATGCTAACCAATGTCTAAAATGTCATTCATTGGTTCATCGATATATGTATTTTATCGATTACGTTCAAACACTAGAAATATTGTATTGTGTATCAGTGTTTATAATAATGTAATAAAATCTTTGTGTGCGTTATGCGTCACTTGGTTGAACTAGTTTTCATACATTTGTATTTTATGTCAGGTCCAGTCTCTAATTCGTCCATGGTGACAGCTATATGAGTAATGAGAACTTTTGAGTGGAATTTTGTCTACTGTCTAGTATTTTTTTGATCGATAGATTCTTATAATAATATTATCTACAAAGGAAACGTAAGATTAATCGAGTATTTGTAAGGCTCGATTATGAAAATTATTGTCGGGGAAAGGGCTGTGGAAGATTAAAACTGCATTTTCACAGTAACTACCGATCAGACACATCTTGCATTGACGTGTTGCGTCTCGTACGGTAGCGAGGCATCGCAGCGCGCGCGGGCGGCGCCCTGAGTGCCAGCGGCTCCCCGGCCAGCGCTGCCGGAGGCGCCCCCGTGGCCGGCAACTCGGCCGCCGCCGCCGCCAGGTCGTCGCCGCGCTCCAGCGACCACTGGCGCCGCAACGTGCGCCCTCCCGTTGTACTCCATCTTTACAAAATTAATCAAATTTAAAACTAATCCGGAATAGTATTGCAAATGTCGTTTATTCATAAATTTATATTACCGATCGGAAAGCCGTGGCGTATCGAGTAGACTAGCGACGGTAGATACAGAGGAACGCAAATATCGACAACGTGGCAAGCTAGGTGGCGGAGGACTGCTTTCGGCAGATGCTGCGCCCGAACGTTGCCAAGCTACAATATGACATGAATTAAATAATTGGATAATGTATGTAGATACAAATAGATATAAATAACATAAAATTGTTAGGATGACAATAAAATTTATATTTACCATATTTATCAACCGCCGGGGAGGGATCGGAACGTTGTCTTTCAACAGACTGAACGGCAGACACAGAATGCATATCATTCACTGTAAGTGACTCGGCAGCCTCTATGTCGTTTTCTGCTTCTGTCTCGAATAAAACCTCTTCAGATCTATTGAAATGTTTTATTTTGGTTAATAATAAATTATGTATTGCTTATAATATAGTAGGTATTTATTTTATAATTGAAGCAAAATAGAAGAATATTGTTTACTCGAGAGGTGGTGGTGTTGGTAGACTTTTATCGAATCCATCTTTGCCAAGTAGCCAGTAGGTATGCATGGCGCCCTTGCCTTTGATTTGAGTGAGACCTCGGGAGCGTAGGCGATAGCCGCCGGCTGCTACCAGGCGCTCCGCCGTCGCTGCCGACACTTGGATGCGCCACGCTGCTCCTGCGTCCATTATACTCCTGATCAAAATTAATGATGCATTTCCAATAATGTAAGAAACCAAACAAAATTAAGAAACACGTGCAATCAACTTAAAGCAATTAAAACCTTACACAGATTCTATATAGTTGTAACAATATATTTCAAGCAAATAATTTGTGCAGGTAAAAAGTCATACCAGTAGACTCCATTCGTGAAGCAGTGTTTACGGTGTCACCGAAGAGACAGTAACGTGGCATAGTGAGACCTACAACTCCGGCGCAACAGGCGCCTGTATGCAACCCTATACGTAAGTGCAGCGGAGTCGCGGGTAAGTGTCGAATTCGAAATCGGCCTGCGAGATGTAAAAGATGCAAGGCCATCGTGGCGATGTTTTCCGCATGGTCACTACACCGAATTGGTAGCCCGCCTACAACCATGTAAGCGTCGCCAATTGTCTCCACCTATCAAGTATAAAACGTAAGGACATAATATATGCATATTCAATAAGTACAAGTAATTGTATAATTTATTTAATTTAATAAATTTGTAGTGATGGGCCGAATGCCGCTTGAACTGAATACGAACTTCGGCCGAACATTCGGTAAGAACAAAATGTTCGCCCAAAATTTGGCCGAACTTCGGTTCAGTTTCATCGCGCATTCTCGAAAGACTTTATTTTTATATATAATTAAAAAATAATTTGTAATATAATAAAATATATATGTATTAGTTATAATATACGAAGTCACCTTGTAAACACGATATTGTTCTATAGCTGCATCAAAGGTCGTGTACAAGTCGTTTAGCAAGTCGACAACCTGCACCGGTGTGGAGCGGGCGGCGAGTGAGGTAAATCCGACAATATCGCTGAAGTAGATGGAAACCTCTTCGAACTCCTCAGGTTCCACGCGCAAGCCCAACATTAGGCGTTCTGCAACTGACCTGCGAATTTTGATTATTATTATTAAATATCTTAAGTCTCGACTGTACATACTCGTACGTAATATATATTACACATACTCGGAGACAGTTACCTCGGTAACATACGGTTAAGTAACTGTTCAGTTTTCTTCTTCTCCATGTCGAGCTGTTCAGTCCTTTCTTTAATTAATTCCTCTAAGTTATTGCTATATTTCTCTAACATTTCAAACATAGAGTCAACAATATTGACTTTTCTGTAAAAAATAAAAAACTGTACATAAAAATAAAAAGACATATAAAATAACAGTATATCAGCTTATATTATTGACGAAATTGTACTATTACCGTCCTCGATGCATGTGACGGAAAACTTCGTAGAGTCGATTAAAATCAGGGCGCAAATCAGGCTGTTCACTCCAACACTGTCGCATGACGCTTACAGCCTCCGGTGGCGCCGCACCCATCGACACTGATGGTCTGATTAATGGAGGCGGGTGCGATAATTTGTCTAAGATTTCTGTTAAACATTCTCTGTATTAGTGACTAAGAAAAGTAAATGCACAGTATAGTATTAGAATCTTGCCGTACCTTCGGGTGTGAGTGATAGCATGCAATAAGGTTCACCACGTACAATAACCTCCTGCATAATTATAGCAAACGAAAACACATCACCCGGCTGGGTACCGCCAGGCACTGTGGACGAACTAGTCTCGCGAAGAATTTCTGGTGCCGTCCATAATAAGTCTAGAATTAAAAAATATGTTATGCTACGTAGTACATACATATGTAGACGATTTAGTAAAATGGGACAGACGCAGAGAATGTGATTTTATCAATATTTCAAAACATTTAATATAAAATAGCATGAATTTAAATCAAGCGCGAATCGGACTCGCGCACGAAGGTTTTCGTATCATTATCTATAAAAACAGCAAAAAACTCATGTCTGTTGAATGGGAGAGCCCCCCTTAAATATTTGTTTTATTTTAATTATTTATTTTTAAAGTGAATATGTGATTAAATATTCTGTGAATATTTTAAGCGTCTACCTGTTGCCGTTATCAATATTGAGCAAAAACGAGTAACGTTTTGTTGTATGGGAGCCCCCTTAAATATTATTTATTTTATTCTGTTTTTTACTATTACTTGTTATAGCGGCAACAGAAACACATTATCTGTGAAAATTTCAAGTATCTTACTATCACGGTTCATGAGATACAGCCTGGTGACAGACAGTCAGACAGACAGACAGACAGACGGAGTCTTAGTAATAGGGTAGGGGAGTTTTACCCTTTGGGTGCGGAACCCAAAAAAAAAAGTAAAGTCAAGACCAAAAAAAAAGAAACTAATGTAGGTATATAAACCTAAAATATAAGGTAGATTTACACAGTGAGGGGATCGTACCTGTAGCCACTAGCTTAGTAACATATAAACAGAATATTTGCCAAGTCGTAATGTCATTAAATAAAAAAAGTATAAATATTTTATTGATGTAACTATTTACCACGAGCAGCTCGAGGTGGATAAGGCAGCGCTTGAGCCGAAGCAAACGCAGGAAGGCCATAATCAGTAATGCGCAATACCCATCGGGAGTCAACGACGCAATTTCGTGAAGACAATCGGGCGTGCACGCGAACAGGCGACGAGTGCAAGTAGCGCATGCCGCGGACTAAGTCAGTGAGCAAGGAAAGCCGAAACGTCCAGTCCAGCCGAATGTCATCAGCTACTAGTACATCTTCCAAAGAGCCACGGCCACATGCTTCAAACACCAATGCGGGCCGAATTTCCGTTAAGCAGCCTATGTATAAAGCATTTAGTTATATTTTCATCAAAAGCCATTCATGGAGAAAATGTAAGTATGTTTCATATTTTGATTATATAGTATTTTTTTATTATTTATAGTTAACAATAATTAATATTAACGAACTATAAGTACATAACTTCTTTATTAAAGAGTAGAATAATAATACTAATTACCTATGAAAGGATTTAAGTTTTCATGTCGGAGACTTTGCATTACTAACAGTATATCGATCGTTTTACGACGCAATTCAAGTGTAGCGGCGGGTAAATATTTCATGTGAACAGGATCACCCTAAACAAAATATATAACGTTAATATTATATTATTGTGTTATTATTCAAACATCATTATAAAATAATACCTTTTATTGACTATACCTTGTATCTAGTACGGTTGTCGGGCGTCAGTCGGGTTACACTGCATGTGGACGATGGTGCAGATTGTCCGAGAGGTTCCGGTTGCTTTAGTAAATCTGGACGTTCTGGTTCTGGACCGGCAAATTCATGTAACTGTTGAAGTAATGACAGCATTGTCTCCATTCCCTCACCTACTCGACGACGCTCATCTGCTGGAAATTGGAAATCAGCAGAGGCAAGTATAGGGAGAGCACGCGGTCTTCTTGGTGTATGTCGATTCACTGCGCGCTTTGCAAATGCAGCACCTACTGCCAAAGCCACACATAATACGCATGCCACGCATAACAATACAATAGCTAATTGCACCATTTCCATGCTAAACACCGCTTTAAAATCATCCACATCTTCAGAGAAATGGGTTGCACCCCAAACTTTTAATTCTAACTCACCAGATGTATCGAGTGATACCGTCGTTGCCCATTCCTCAGATTTGTCTAACGATCGAGTCGAAGTAGTTTTGAAGATCGCGATACGTTTCCACTTTAAAGTTTCATTCTTAGTTTCACTTTTAAACAAGAAAAATATGTTACGAGAAAGCTCAATTCTTGTGTGTTCAGCTTTTAGGTACAAGAACGTTGCCTCAAGGAGTTCGTCATATACAACTTGCGCAGTTGGTTTGGTATCGAGTATATTGTCACTGAGAATAATTATACGATTCATAACTGCTGTTTCAATCATGGTCATGCCAATATTTTGTTCATTTTGATCATCTGCCATGTTATGTTCTGAGTCACGTCTGCGGCGAAAATTAGCTTTGTTTTTATAAGTTTTCATTTTTCTTCTGGTATTATCATTGATTTTATCCTTATTTGTAACTTCATCTGAAACTATTATTGCGTGTCGTTTTAACTTTTTTTGGGGGTTTTTGTTTAATGAATACAATTTTATCCATTCATCATCTTCCAATGTTGTCATTTTTAAGAAATTATTTCGAATATCAAAGTAATCTGAAATAAAGTCTGACAACACTGCTTTAGCTGTCGACTCTAAGTTTTCTTGCAAATTTGTTCGTCGTGTGCTTAAGTTAGATATATCTTCGGCATGAACCATATTGAATCTCTTATTGCCTGTTATTTGCAATAGTAAGATTGGTGCACTGCTAATATTTATAGCAATTTTAGTCGCAGCAATTGACAAATCGCAAAGTACAATAACTGAAAGAAGAAAACACATGCTTATTATATTGTTTTTCTCAAAATCATCTAAAAAACCTAATAAGATTTACAATGCGATAAATAAAAAAAAAATTATAAATATGATTATATAATAAAAGATTTTTTTCGGAAGTCTTAGTTAAGTTACTTAATGTACCTATATAAAATATATTAAGTAATTTTCGTAAGCTATTTAACTACCTATATAGTATACATATTATATATGTATACTATATAGGTAGTAAAATGGCAGCGGTAGTCCAGTGGTAACGCAAATCCGAGTGAAGCGGGTTCAAATTCCGGGTGTCGCATCTCTGATAATTTCGTGTGCGAATCATTTCCAACATGATTACTACTTGTCCTACTTGTGAAGGAAACATCGTGAGAAAACCTACACTTCTAAGAGAATCTAGCAGGTTTTCGAAATACATGTCAAGTTCGGCAATCCGCACTTGGCTAGCGTGGTGCGCTCGCATTGAAGTGAGGCCCGTGCCCGGCTGTGACGCATTAAAAAGGTTTGAATACTGCTATATAATACTACATAGGTACTAGGTAGTAATATGGTAAAACATCATTTTTCTATTTTCAGTATAAGGTATGTATCTCTATATTTTCTTCGTGATAACGTCCAGCCTAAATATGTTTTTAACGTTTTGCGTCTTGATCTTTATTGAAAAATGATTAGAAAAACATCAGATAATATTTTTTAAAATAGTAATTTGAGGTTTGATGGATCGAAAGGATACAGCATTTGGTTAACATATCTATCGGCTATTTTTTTTCAACATACATTTATAATATTCGTAGTTATTTATATATTCAGCACTCACCATGTGGACGAAAATTAGTAACAGCAGAAGGTAAGATCATGGACCTCACAAGAATACCGGCTGCAGTTAGCGCATGCTCTGCTTGTAGCAGCGCCACGGTGCACTCACTTTCATTATTTGTATATAACAACAACACACTGCGCCACTTAAGACTTTTAACCAACTGTACAACTACAATGCTACGTGCGTGCGGCTCGTTACACATCAAAGGCTGTGGACGGTGTAGAGCTTTCGCAGCTGCGGTGACGCTATTGCAAACTGTAGACCCCGGTCTGCCAGTGGACACTACCCCGCCACCAGCTCCTAGTGCGCTCAAAGCATTACGGGTAATGCTGGTTTCCCAATTAATTCCACAGGTGTCTACAAATGTAAAAATAAACAATTATTTTTTTCCGGGTCATCAAAAACGAAACTGTAAGTATTTTGGTCTAATATTAATCTACCTTCATAACTAAGTAGAAGATAGGGTCGAGATAATTTCGAAAGTTGCTTTGTAGCCGTAGCATACTGCTCCAGGCGGCTTTTAGAATATAGTGAAGGATCTTGCGTGGGACAGCCAGAGTGCACTACGAGCAAGAGAGGTGCTGTGGTGGGATCGGAGAGAAGCAGGGGCGCGGCGGTTGTGACGATTGCTAGCGTGGCCAATAGCAGAGGCGGCGGTGGTCGGGCCCGCATGGCGCCATGGGTCACGTGACGGCCGCCATGCCCCGCCGAGCGCTCGCGCTCCGATGCACCGATTACTCGTTCGCCTGATCGCGTCAGATCAAACAGCTGCCTCCTGTTCCGTGAATAAGCCGATCGATAGCTCACTGGTTCTCTACGGCTATACCCAAACTTCTGTAACTACTTTACACAAGCGAAACGAGACCGGGTTAGCAACTGAAGTTATTAATTGGATAGTAAATCTATTTAATTAGTTTTGATATGATAGATATAATATGTACTTTATATTTTATTGTAAGAAGCTAAACTGTGGACACAAAATAGTAAAATATTGCTTACTTATGTATTTTACTATCACATAGGTACGAGACCTACTGCGTCTCTCATTACATAGGTAGGTTAGATATAGATCTACATATAATAAAACTGTAACTTAACAAATTCTGTATATGAAATATTTTTTTAAAACAATGACTGTAACGTATTGTGTGGAGAATATAGATCCCAAAACAATAGTTATTAAATTTTTAGTCTGCTTGTCTGTTTGAGCGTTTGCCTTTCACGCAAAAGTACTGAACCGATTTTATATGTGACTAATATTGCCCGCGGCTCCGCCCGCGTTCAGATGACCAAAAATCAAATTCTTAGGTTTTACATATTAGTATACTCTTACATTGCAGTTTTTGTATTTTTCTCAGAAATGAGACATTTTCCCGCGGTAAAAAGTATCCAATATGTTGACCCGGATAACCAGCTATCATCGGACCAAATTTCATCAAAATCTATCCAGTGGTTTTCCCGTGATGCGGTAACAGACAGACAGACAAAAATTCTAAAAACTAGATTCGGCCTCTGTATCGATAATAATGTTTATTTCAATAAGATCTTCCAAAAATATTTAATGTACAGATTTGGCTTGGTTACAATTTTATTATATGTATAGATAACTTAATGGTCCCGACCCGAATGGTCAACACTTAAGATACCTTTCTCTAAATCTGGGGAAAAACACCATAACTGATTCTGTTGAATCGTTGTTATAAATTTACGTCTAACGCCGGCTAAACCTTAAAAGATACATCAAATCAGTGTACCAGAAAATTGTAGGTCTTAAAAAGGCGTACAGAAAAGTCTTCAACGTTGGTTGGTTTAATCATTTAAATAATACAAGTAGGTCGTTATTAATATAAAATGTATGTATAATGTATATAATTGTATTATTATCATAATTAAGATGACCAGTTTATTCTGTGTAAAAAATATTATACAAGATTTTGAAATGGTTGTGTTGTTTTACACATCACTTGGCTTATATAAAATTAATAACCGCCCATTAATTTATTGATGCAAGGTATTATTACTTTACTATTTTTGAAAGTTTTCCAGCTAGCTCTACTCGTACTTAAAAATAGAGTTATTTACCAGTCAATAAGTTCGAATGAAAAAGTAGGTCGTGCAACACGTTGTATATAAGCTCACACATCTAATCTTAAAATAGTACCAGAACCGTACTTTCACTTAGTATTCATAGAGATTTGAAAGTCAATGTGTGGTCTAGGGTTGAAGGGCGGCAAAACGAACTCTACGTGTAGGTTGTAAGGGCACAAACGAGGTTTCCGCGCGGTTTTCGCGGCGTCAGTGGTCCGGAGACGCGCGGGAGAAGCGCCAGGAAACGTCGCGCGGCCGTCACCTACTGCCGGCGGCGCAGGGCGCGGGTCGCGGCCCGCGGCTGCGCGCCGGCACCCTCTACGACCCCGAGCTGCCTCAAATCTAGACTTTATTATTTCACCGCCGCCCTGCCTCGATACTAGACTAAATTACTTGCGATAAATAACTTTGTCTCGTAATAATATATTGACACGAGCTGTGCGTAATATGCCTGAAGAATTTATGAGAAGGAAAATTGTGGACTAAAACCTGTTTCCTTAGATTATATAGAGGTATAATTTGTAATCTGTCAAGAGTTACACATACTAAGTGCAATCTAAATTTGTACAAACACGTTTGAATCAGTCATTTAAAATATATCCATACTAGCAACTCACCCTCGCTTCGTTCGGGTATAATAATCATAAGCCCGCAGGGCAACTTGTGGCGAGCTGTTGATGAGTGGAGATACCACGAAACTGAGGTCTCTCCGGGGAAACAACATCTGGACCTCGTCTAGTGTGTAGGCGAGTTACCGTCTGCCTAAGGATCAATGTTGAGACTGTTGAGTAGGCGTTTAGGAGATGTCCGCTAGTCTCATTCAATAGCCCAGTTTTTTTGTCTATCCAACTTCCATTCCATAGACCCTTTTAGTTTTCCATATTTTCCATAGTCCCCACGCATTACCCGAAAACCATCTATGAGCAATGCCCTATGGGTTACTCAGAGATGGTTTCCGGCTGGAATTTAGATTTTTAGGCTGGATTAAATAAATTTAGATCTTTTAAGGGGTCTCTACGTGTTGGACCTGTATCCCCACGTAAGCCTTCCAAAAGACCAGGCTCCTTCGAGCCCGGTTCCGATAATATATAATAATAAGCCTTTTATTCAGATCTTAACATGCAGTACCTTATGAAATAGTTCTAATAGTAACAATAATATTAATTATCTATTTGAAACCAGCCATCGATAGCCTATTGGTTGTGGTCTGTGTGCCCTTCGGCATAGGTCGTATATATATATACATACTCTATCCTTAGCAGTCCTTATCCATATCTTTCTGTCTGTCTTTTTAATGTCATCACTCCATTTTTTATTTTGCCGTTTTCGATTCCTTTTACCATTTCTTGGATACCAGGTTATTACCCTTTTGCTCTATTTATACATTTCTCTTATGGTATAACCAGCCCATCTCAATTTTAACCTCCTGATTTTTATTGAGGCATCTGCCACCCCTGTTGGTTTCTTTATCTCTGTGTTTCTTTTCCTGTCCTTTCTTTTAATTTCTAGCATGCTTCTCTCCATCGAGCGTTGACAGACTGAAAATCTTTCACATAGATTTTTCGTAAGAGCTCAGGATTGGCAGCCGTAAGTGAACACAGTCAGAATACATGCATCGAACAGTTTTATTTTTAGCTTTATGTTCATTTTTTTGTTTTTCGTAATTTCTCTGAGAGACCAGTATCGTTTCCGTGCGTTGGCTAACCGACGGTGTTCATCTCCTTCCCATGTAAAGTTTTCATGCTAAAGTAATAATCTGACCTATGTACCTACATACATATATGTACGTACATAGGTATGTGTATACTGATCCTGATATTCAATTATTCTGTTGTTTACTTTTATTTTCAAAAAGATGTGAGCCAATTTTAAAGTATAAAGAAATGAATTGAATGAATTTTATATAATATTTATTTATAATTTAATTATATTTTGTTATAAAATGAAAAAAGTCAAAATACAGAACTATTTAATCTTCATTTTAGACAAAATACGGGGTTAATTTCACAATAATTTTCATCCCTTAGTACCAATACATTGTATAGGTACATTTATAATAATGCCCAACAATACTGGTATAAATAAAAAATCTTTTTGAGTATGTATTTGTAGGTACAATCATAGGTACATGAGGTATATTATATATATGTAATAATATAACTATTCTGTTGGTTGCGTCGCGGGCAGCAGGTGTCCTTCGGCTACCGCTTCTATGCGCGGTCGGTCGAGCCGCAGGGCGGCGCGGCCCTCGCTGGCGCGGAGGTCGCGCGCGCCCAGCCGCGAGTAGAAGCTAAGCGCGACCACGTTGTTCAGTAGCACGTGCCAGTCAATTCTGTGCACGTCCGCTTCTACCGCCATCTAAAACGAATGTCATTTCATGTGAATAGGTTGACTGCAATAACCAAACTAGATATACTTAGATTACTTTTAGCCCCGGAAAAAAGGTTTTCTACACAATAGGAAATAGAAAAAATATTGCTAAATTGATGTCGAGTCAAGCCTTTTAGTATGAAGCTCTAAAAAATGATGAACTAAAAAGACATCTCTACCTTACAAAGCTCCTGTAGTAATTTGCGAGCAATGCCATGACGCCGCGCCGAAGGCTGCACATAAAGATCTTCAATGTAAAAAGAGCGGCGAGTCCAGCTGGAGTACGCTCGGTTGCACAGTGCATAACCGACCAGCTCTCCCCCCAACTCGGCAACCAGCCCAAAGAACCACTCTGGAGAGCTTTCGAAGCCATCTTCTATTAAATCTGCAAAGCATTTACGAAGAACTATTATTTTTAATATTTTTCTTGTTATATATTATATAAACACATAAGCACTAGAATTAAAAAAAAGAATACTTTTATAGTTCTATAATTTACTCAAATCCCAAGATTTTCAATTTTATCACGTTGACATACGAGTATATACGTCATCTCTGCATGTATTATTTAGAGTCCGTCCAGTGTAGAGGTGTAGTATGACGACGTAGGTAGAAGATACATAATATGTACATACTACATACATTGGATATATGTATTTGTTTGAAAATAAAATGTTTAGAGGTTGATTATCATATCAATAAAAAGACCTACAGAGAAAAGAAGTATGAAAGTATGAGCCCGAAAAAACCCAGCGTAGAAACCGCGAACAGCATTTTATTTCATATTTACTGGAATTCTATGAAAAACTTGCTCTTGCCTTGAACACTGAGTTGTGGCCCGTCTGGCACCTCTTCAAATGTAGCTAGTTCCTGAAATGATGCAATATGATTAATTGTGGAATAGAAAAAAATAAATTATGCCTAACATTGTCACAAGAAACAAATATTGGTATTTAATCTAATATTTTTATTTTGTAAATTCGTAAGCGATCCAAATAGAGAGTATTCTGCCAGTTAAATTTCTAACTAAAAAGTCTTCATTATTTAACAAAATATTTCATCAAATTGTATTTATATTAAAAAGGTTATCTCGTGTATCATAATTTGTTACAAGAAGCTAATAATATGCAGTATTAGTTATGTAGAGTAAGAATGGGACGTACTGTTAGTTATTACCGTACCAAACATACGAGTATGTATCTGCTGTTAGTACCGGAGTCGAGAATATTAAGTTTGTGGTACACTCTACAGTGCTCGACGCTCGTGCACGTCAATGTGACACTAGACTCACGTGTATCATGCGATGCACAACAGACGCGTCTTCACGGCGCATGGCTCGTATTTGAATTGTTCCTGTATCACATTTCGTCTCTGTGTCACATGCTTTATGAGAAGTCATTTTATTTATAAATTGTAATTCTAATAAAAAAATCTAACAAGACCTAACAACACGACATGTAACCTTAAACTAAGTACTAAGTAGGTAAATCAGTGAGCATCGGCTAAATGTAGAGCAATAGGTTACTCGGTGCTGTGAGCACAGATGTCGCTATATGTTGTCATTTATTATTATTTAAAGTTTAAACCTCATTACTCAGAGTCAGAGGTATGTCTATTTAAATAAAGTACTTACCGAATCCTTATCAGTAATTTGGCGTTTTTGTATTTTATTTGGAACTTTTACAACAAAAACGTGTTATGGTTTTAGTTGTCATCGTCGTCGTTTTGGTCGTCTGTTTAAGACGACTAGAGATAGGAATACTCACCATTTATTAATTTTTCAATTTCTAAAATTATTATTATGAATAAGCAAAGTATATTAAAGAAATCAGAAAAAAGTCTAATAAATATAATTAGGCTCCACCTATTATAATTTGTCATATCTACTTGATTTCAAATGCTACCTCAAGTTACCACAAGGGGCCAAGAGATGGCGCTACAAGTTAAAAAGTCAACTCTTTCCTAATCGTAATGAAGGGTTATGGAAGAGTATTAATATTATAATTTATATCAAAAGATATTTATGAAGTATAGTTTAGTATCCTACATATTAGCTTACGTTAGAAATTAATGGATTGTATATTATTTTATTCTACTATAATATAGTATAATTTTAGTAAAAAGGAACAAGATAGAGAAAGTAACCCAAAACAATTATTTCAGCAGATGGCGTTAAATTTGCTAGTCGCTCAAGCTTATTTAATTGCTCTTTTTTAATATCAAGGTAACTGATATCAGCATCAATCGAAACAGTCAAGAGTTGGTAATTGAACGAGCGATTGAGCCAACGCCATTTTGGTGGAAATTGGAAGAAAGTTATGTAAGCGAGGTGGGAATGGTACTGAAGCAAACATCTTCCTGCTCACTTCACTTATCTGTGGAACCCGTGATGACTTCTCATCCACAACAACACCAAGATTTTTAACGGTTCTGTTGTATGGTATGCTCACACCGTTTAACACTATAGGTGGAAGAGTATAAACGTTAATTCTGGGTATGAGTTTGGGACTGCCAATAATTATAACTTAAGTTTTCGCAGGATTTAATTGTAGCCCAAACAACTTACTCCAAGTGGTAATTTTTAAAAGATTGTAATTAATATTGTCAATAGCATTAGGTAAGCCAACAATTTTCGATCGACTATAAAGCAAATCATTTGTATAAAGGTGATAGAGAGAAGAAATTTGTTGACAAATATTACTTATAAAAATAGAAAATAAAAGAGAAGGTAACACACCATCATATGGAACGCCTGCCTAGACTGGAAGCCCGTAAGCATAATGTCAATATCTACATTGCCACAGGCATTGCTAAAGTCCAGCAGTGCAAGCAATATGACTTGCTGCGTATCCATGTCCATCCTAATATCATCAGTAATTTTAGCCAAGAACGCCAAGTTTAGTCGCCAGAACAAAAGCCCGATTGCAGAGGATCGTGAAAATTATTGCTAGAAAGGAATTGAGATGCTGGTGTAATGGCGCTTAAGTATTTTGGATAGAAAGAATTGAGATCGGACGATAGTCGTTATAACCTGCAGGATTGGTTTTTTAGGCAAAGGCAAAATTTGAGCGTTTCCGTGATAAAGGAAACTTAATGTGTTCGATAGAGTAATTTAAGATGAAAGTCAGAACAGGAGATTATCAAGGATGGGAATAATCATTTTACGACAAGTGCAATCAGCACCCACCGTATTAGAATGGATAACCAGGATATTCTTCTTAATATCATTTTCTATAATTTGACTAAAGACTAAATGTAAAATATTAGGTGTACCTCATTAATGGCGCTAGATGAAGAGAAATGCTTATTAAGCTGGTTTCGATTGACATTTTGAGGAAATTTTTTACTGAAAAAAATATACAGGGTCATTTGTAATTTACTGAAAACCTTTTGGGAATATACTATTTACATCATAACAACAGCATCTGTAACAAGAAAAAAAAAATTCTTAATTATTTTTTTTGAAGGTTTTCAGTAAATTAAAAATGACCCTGTATATTTATTAAGTACGCACGTGAATTTCTTACAACCCTCAACTTTGGTCACGAGTACTAGGGGACCATAAACCTCAATTAGTGCTTGTTATAGGTATATGCTGGCTGTTGGCTCCGTCAAAGAGTGCATACGACTTCCTTAACACTTTGCTTGCCTGGTACTTGTGATGACGTCATATGGGATGCTCTTAGTAAATAATATTTTTTTAACAATATTCATTTGATATGATTATGATCACTCATTTAAAAATAAATGAAAAAAATGTTTTTATATAAATATCCATTGTTATTTAATTTATTTTTTGAAATATTAATTTAATAGTCTAAATAATTTTTATTAACTTCCGTAACAACCGTTTCTGTTACAAAAATCGTAACGCCAATACTTTTGTTCCCTCTCATATGGTGCCTAGCACAAATCACAAAGTTTTACTTCAATATTATAATTGATTTGAAAAAAAAAGATATTATTTAAAATATCTACTTTAAAGAAACATATGTATATCCGAGTCCAGCACCTGCTTATTTTAATTGATTAATGATGAATTAATTGATTATTTTGTATATTCAACGGAACCCTTTTCTAAGGGCTCGTGAAGCAAAGTCCAATTTATATAAATGCTCTTTTAGAATTTACAATTACTTTAATGTGATTAACCAGGATTAGTTTCTGAGTAAAGAAGTATGGATAACATGAGAACTAAATAAATATGTACTATGGAATATGCTCTCGTACGCTCAAAAATTGAACTGAATAATCTAGGTTCCGTTTTTTCGGATATTAGTGAGTACAAAAAGACAGATTCAAATATTAGTATATTTTTATCGATTTCTTCAGTTTTAATATTATGCACAAATCCTTAAATTAATGCGAGATCTGCCTTAAATACGAAACTTTAATATGTTGAGGTTCCTTTCGAACTCGCCTAATTATCCACAATTTTTTACTTATTTAGTAAACTACAATACTTGTACAGTTATTATTATATCAGTAATTATTCTTATTATCTATGAAGATGACATGTCGGATTTTCTAACTATATTTAAATATCATTTCACTTCTAAACTCTAATAAAGGAAGGTTTTTAATATTATAGTATAATCATGTTTAGGTACTTGAAGCTTAGAGCTGAACTGAGCCGAGCTGGTAGAAGCTTTTGCTAAGTTTGAGAAGAACCCTTAGTTTTTGTTTAAAATATTTTCATTAAAATCTTATTAGGAATCATTGACATCAAGTTTATAAGCCAAAAAAATGACTACGTCATGTGGGGAAAATTGCATAAAATGGAGTCAGTCATCTTCCTGTCTGCATGACAATGACCGACTGATAGCGCTACAGCCGAGCGTGTCCCTGCAGTCGTACCTTACATGAGAGGTGTCAACGACAAGGTTATCTACATTCTAAAGCTTTCTTCAATTAAAAAATATTATAAGCCACCAAACAAAATCAGTTAGTTTTTACCAGTAGTTTTTTGATATGTAGGTATCAAGTCACGTCCAAAGACCTATTATTCACTTTTAAGACGTCAGTATGTATTTTTGTAGAGATGAAAAATCATTACTAATTACACTTAACAATCTGAATCTGTCCGTGAAGTCTGAATTTGGCAAATATTCACAAAAGATGACTCTTAAAATGTTTCAATGATAGTAGTTCGACTTGATTGTATTTACTTGGGAGTTCCTCCTTACTTACTATAATCTTTGTTTACTTTTAAAATAATTACAATTAAGATTATTTGTTGAATTGTCATTATTATTCTTATGACATAATCCAATACTTAAAAAAAACGTTTTTTTCTTATTTTCAAAAATTAATAATATTTAGTGCGTGTTAAAATTAGGCTTAGGTTTTGTAATGAAATGTGCTTCTTTAGAGAAATTGTATAAAAATCGAGGTCATACAACAATGTGCGCGAGGTGAGGGTGGCGCTGAGCGAAGGCGGCGCGGCGCGCTGCGTCGGCGCGGGGCTGGCGGCGCGGACTCGCGCGCCGTCCTCCGACGCGTGCGCACTGCCCAGCACCCGTGCTCTCGCCGCACTCTCGCCGCGCTATGCGCCCCACGACCGCGCCTGCGCAAGACCCACACGCTCCACGACCCGACCACAACCCTTCTCCGCGATGGCGGCCACCAAAACCGAGTACCACTTCGGTGAGTATCACTCCATTCGGCGATCGCTGCTGCGGGCGCTGAATGATTTGTTACATTCCATGTTTCCGAATCTATGAAACTTTTCGATCTAGTTGAGGTTTTTCATCACATTATACCGTAATTATATCGTAATAAAATGTTTCGTGCCATTAATTGTTAAGCAATACGAGTAAAAACCTTCAATTTCCAATTCGATTTTCGTCACGTAAACTTTCTAGAAATAAAACTGTACGGTTATTATTTACATACTGGTATGTGATCGTGTGGTAGTCGTTAAGTCACGCCAAACACGCATTAATGTATTTACTTTATTCATTATACTTTATTTATTAGATTTGATTGGGTGCCTTAAGTGTACATAGAGAGCTTATCATGAACAGAGCCCGTATCATGACTGTAACCGTCTGTAATAGATAACTGACATAATGGGGATAATTCCTACGTCACGAACCATTGACACTGTCGCGTTGGTGTGGTCGGTCGCAAACGGTGTATGTTTGAGATAGTGCCTCGTGAGCGTCTTCGCGACAGACGACGCGCGGGCGGGATGTTTCAGCCAGACGTGGAGGCTTCAGAGGCAGGTGTGGTGGCGCGAGGCTCGGAGGGCGGGCGGTGCGCAGGCGCATACGGTATGGGCTGCGGTGCGTCGCAGACACGCGGGAGTCGCAACGCTTTATCATCCGGCGATTAGATAAAGCGAAATCGCTCAAACTCAGCGAGTGGCAGTAGGCAGCCGCGCGCGCTGCCCGCGGGCCGCGCGCCGTTACGAGCTTCCTTGTTATTGTTAGCGAGTGTTGACCGCGCCACCGCGCCACCGCTGACCCGCTTTGCGCTGCACCTGCGCTCACTTCGCGTTATCGCACTAATGCCATTTTAATTGCCTTACTTTTCAATGTGAAATCTACAACATGAGGAAAATCGACGGGATTATTGTCATGTTAGGTTTAAATTTAATAAAACCGGTGAGTGAGGTTTCATCCATCCATACCTATGTGAGACGGAACACAGCACGATGCGTTGTCGATGGCACGATGGCAGTGTTGCGCGGAGCGAAGCGCGGGTCCGCCACGAGGCGCTTCCGCCCGCCGCTGATAGCGTCATACATACCTACTTGTACATATGTTTGTCATAGCGCTATTATTTCTTATTCCGTATTTTTGACGTTCTTTCACAGTATATACTTCATTTTTATGTCTTTTTTTGCATTTTGTTAAACATTATTTTTATACTCTACTTACTGTCTTTAGGAATATTCAACTTACATAACATATACTGACATGAATAGGACCTGCATAGCTATACTTGTAGTATCAGGTAAACCTAATGTAAACTATTTAACACCTTTTTTAGTTATTATTAACATTTATTTTATATATTAGCATATTCAATAAAATATTTTATATATCTAGGATTAGTATCTCGCCAATTAAGGAAAGACTAGAATAAAAAAAATCTTATCATAATGAAAGTTAGAAGTTTTTGCTTATGCTATGAATGAATGAGTCACCTTCGAGTTACAAACCAAAATAATTGTCGAGCAAATTAGCAAAAATATTGAAGAGTAATGAATGCGTATACGTAAAAAACTTTAGCTAAATACACTAGCTAGCTAAAGACTACATGCCGTTGTTTATTTTAACCAGGTCTTTATAACGAGATGTGCTTAGATAGATCTGTAGAGCTTAATATTCAGTAAAAAAAATACTTTACTTTGTGTTCATTCGTGATTTACTCCATTATCCTACTTTGTTTGGGCGCATCGCACCCATCCCTGGTAGCGTCATTTTTTGGCAAATGTTATTGCTAATAGTAATGTGTTACTCCAAGTTATAGGCCATGTGTAATGTGTATTCTTATCCTAATTCTAGCCATTTCAGCTTGAAGATAACAAACGTACACAAACATACTCGTATATATTAGTATCTACTTCTGCATTTATAATAATATTGTGATTGAGTTTACGCAGAAAGTGTGATTTTTCTAAAGGGATAGTAATAAACTGGAGAGTAACAGGCTTTACGTTCTATCGCGTTATCCGAGAGCAAAGAGCGAGATATTCTAAAATGTAGCTGAGGGTTGCATCATGTATTGAGGCCATGAACGATGCGAGAGCTTAGGTTCGTTACCCATACATACACTTGACAATAAAGGTTAAGACTTTTGAGGCCTTAATATTTATTTACAACTAAAAAAGTGACATATATAATCTACTAACATTGCCCGCAATAGTATACAAATATGTTAAACCTAAGAATTTGGTTTTCGGTCATCTGAACGCGGGCGGAGCCGGGGGCAATGTTAGTATGAATATATATGTAGCTATTATAAAATTCTAACTGAGTCAAATCTGTCTGTACATGAAATGTTTTTTTGGAAAATCTTATTGAAATAGTAATTATTAGTGATCGATACAGAGGCCGAATCTGTAGTTTTTTGTCTGTCTGTCTGTCTAGAAACGCATCACGAGAAAACAAGTGGACAGATTTTAATGAAATTTGGTATAATGATAGCTGGTTATTCGGGTCAACATTTAGGATATTTTTTATTGCGGGAAAATATTTCATCTTTGAGAATTCTATACTAAACGTTAAAACGTAAGCGAGGGTGAGTCGCTAGTATTGTTCATTTCTATGAAATATGATTTTATTTATTGAAATTCAACAACTCAATAATGCCGTTTTAGTTGGTATCAAAACCAGTTCCGTGATTCTTTTGGTTTTCTTCGGATTTTCACATCCTAGCTCCCTTGAAAATATCTGTCTTCTACAACAATCCACATGAAAAAAAGTAAAAGTGTCGTAAGTGTTTATTACATCAACATACTGAATATTGCAATAATTATTTATCCAATGATTTATTAACTATATTTTAATACATCATTTCATGAATAAGACATATGCTATATCGTAGGGATCTCCATATTTGAAGTAAACTTAATGACTCTACGTAACTCTATAAAAACTGCGAATATTGTGCTGTATGCGAATATTACTGTAATATGCAAATTTTAAAGACACATTCGATTTACATTATAACACATTTTTGACGAAATCTGATTTAAAATACATAAACTATCATAGTAGTAATCCAGCACAGAGCTTAGGGTTACACTGTTCATTATAGTTCTCTAACTTTAGTGATTTGGTCTTGGCATCATATACATACCTAGTGACACGTAGACAACAGGTGTAATCTTTATTTCTTAACAATCGTTCTAACAGAAATCTGATATGACCAATAAAAGCTCAAGCGCAGCATCCACGGCTATGCTGGTCTAGAATCTGTAACTACAGTAAGTAATAAGCTCTATACTTTCGAGTCAATAAGGCTGTTAGACACTTAGGTAATGTTGTTAATTTTTACCTGCTGTTATTCCTTTATACTTGTATGTATGTCTGCATATTTTTTTTGGTTTAGGCGAAATTCTTATAGGGTATAGGTAATGTACCTATATAGAGGTGTAAGTATCTGAGTATGCGTCGCAGTGACGGCTCTCGCGCCGCGGTGCGTCTCCGGTTTCATTTCATTCATGAGTACCTTGCTTTAGGTTTCGTGTTTAGATTACTACAGTTCATTCTTTCACAACTAATTCATACCAGTATTGTAAACATGGCCGAGCACATCGCTTTATACAAACCAGTTAAGTGTATTATTTTTCGATATATTTTAATTTTTGGTTCCCAACGTTTCGAATGCTTTACAGCTATCATGGTCACGGGAGAGACTAGGGTTTTAGATGTCTCAATTTTTTTTTATTTTTGTATTTTTATAATATTTTTATGATCCAATAATAATAATCATTGTATAATTTTGAAGCCATTCTATCTATACTTTTATATTAAACCGTAGAACAAAATAAACCTGCGAAATAATAATTTTATATAAAATGTATTAATTTATTTTAATTGACCTTTTGAACTTGAAACCTTTAAAAGCAAATAAAATAATTCTTTAGTTCGGTATTATAAACATTTTTTTTTTCATTTAAAAATTAATTACAGTAGGAGAATATTCAACAATAGTAAATATAACTTACGTAATTGTTGTATTGAATTGTTTGTACGAAGAGATACTTAGATTATTTTAGTAGGTTTGTGGTTAAAAACCACATTAATTAATTATTTAATACTTAAATAGTTACTTCAACAGTAAATTTATAAAACATATTTTCATTAGTATGACTTTTTTCTACAATAATATTGTCATTTATTATAAAGTCATAAAAATGTCACAAGTACTAAAGATGTAGAGCCGTCGACCTGATTCACATTTGCTCGCTGCCATAGAGCGGCCGGGGGCGGGGGCGGAGAGGGGAGCGACGAGCGATAAGAGCGCCCTGTGCGCCCGCGCTGACCTGGCGCGCGTCTCCCTCCCGCGCCCCCGCCTCCGCTCCGCGCTCCAGCAATGCCTCTACCACGCGCATAGTGCTTCACGTAACTATAACTAGCACCAACACTACATATTAATTTAAAAATATTTACCAACTGTTATTCTTACATGTAATAAAGATATTATTTACATTTTTATAATTCTTTCACGCATGTATGGTCTTGATGTTGGAGTTAGAGAGAGTTCATGGGCCCTAGGTTTGAACAGAGGCTACTTTTTATTCGATACGTCAAATAGCGTCTGTGGTAAGGCTGTTACAAAAAGTTACTTTAGTTCAATTTTTTCAAGCCAAAACAGCCTCTCCTCAACTTATGGTTTTAAAATGTCACATGCTCGTTAAGTTCTGGTGACACTCAATACACATACATTCATACATACACTAAAATAATTGAAATAACCTGATGCTGCACCCAGGAAACCTCAAAACGGCATTTCTGAACACTTAGTTGATTACACGTTTAACTTAGTAGCTAAACATGATCACCAAAAGCAGCTTATTTAATCTTTTTAATTCAAATTAATCTTTGTAGTACCTAGTACATAAAAAGAAATAAGTAAAAAAAAATAAGTTAAACGGTTTTATGGAAAAGAAAGAAATATAATAAAGTTGTAGTACAACTGTCACAAAAATAAAATCATGGGGCGTAGCATAACCTGAGTAAATAATGATGTAAATAGCATTTATAATGATATTAGTGATGTCGCTAGTCGCGTTCGTCCGTCCGTCCATGCATCGATCAAACTCTATGTTCTACTTGTAAAGGCCTTTAATTTCATAACCATATTTAGGGGGTTGTGATGTAATGGGCCATTTTGTTCGTGGCCATATTGGATTTGGATTTTTTGCATAGTGTACTTTATTCTACTAGTCAAGTCATTTGATACTCATATTGAGAGGGTTTTGAAAAAATATGCAATCCACTACTTTGTTGCTGCGGCCATCTTGGATTTATAGTGATACTGAATATATTCAATTTTATTGTAATTAGAACAAAAGGTGTGAACCAAATATCAGATCAATGATCAATCTGACAACAGGGACGGGGTAAAATTTCAATTACTCATATTTAGTTCAATTACCCAAATAAACAGGACAAGCCAAATAAAACCGTTTAATAAAGTGCCTTTTTAGTTTGTAGATTTTATGTTGATTTCAAAAATTCCCAAAAAGCTTTTCGCAACAAAGAACTTCAGCATAATACGTCGAAACTATAACTTATTTATTTTGTAATAAATAAAATTTTAGTTAAAGATTTTTATTATTAAGGTTCAAGCACATCATACTTTTCAATGTGGCTCTTAATAAATAATAAAATTTGCATATTTCAACATAATTTAGGACTATTGCAATATACTGCGTGTCTTGAACCGGATGTAGAGTAGGTACTGTGAAGTTACAAAATGTCTTGTCACTGACTATCGGCGTTGATCCGGAGGGTCTGTGTTCCCCGAGGCTTTGACCTTCCTATTGTGGCAGAACGCTACTATACAGATATCACTTTGGTTTATTTTATTCATTATATTTCACAATATTTTTGTTCTATGTTATGTACTGTTATTATCAGTGTATGTGTAAATAAAATATCAATATACATATATATATATATATATATTTCATTACATGTCTTATTTACATGGATTAAATTATTACATTTGACGTTGTATTAGGTTTGAGGTTTTTTTAGAGATACGTACTTGGACGAGTATTTGTTTTTATTATTTTTCGGAAAAGATGTGATAATTGCGTTTTTTTCAGAAAATACACCGATATAGATAAATTTAAAAAGCAAAACCATAATATCTAAATAAAGATCCAAATCGTTAGAGCCGTTTCCGAGACAACAACGAGATGACATACAAGAATGGCTCATTTAATATTATAAGATTAGGTCTATAAAGAATTTAATGACATTATGATGGAACTATCAATTGGAAAATGAATAATATATGTATATTACAAATAAACACGTGTATCAGGCACGAAGACGGAGGCTAATTTCACAACACATTGCCACAGCACGTACGTGCCGCGCGCTGGTCGGAGAGCCGCGATACGCCGCAAGTCGTCTACACACCCGTCGTACACGTAACACGGTGATCATGTCAATTCGTATGAAAAACGTGCACAATATAATGTTCCGGCTGCGCGCGCGCATCTTCCACAGCCGCTGTCGCTCGCGATGATAACGTGCCAAATTTTGGCCACACAATTGACACCCAAATGTATTAGACTGTAATAGTCAATTGCTTGGTGTTTGCGACAAAACGAGTTACCTAGTTACAAATCTTACAGTTAAAATACTAGCAGTTAAAAGATGAACTAATATTGATACAGCGTAGAGCATATGTACCAAATAATTCACTAACATTGCTATTTTTATAAAAAACTGAGGACTGTTTTAAAATTTAAAAAATCATTACTTTAATAAAGAAGACTTACATATGTAATATATTATAAGAAGACAAATTCAAATGTGTTTATCACGTTCATGTCACGTTCGATTTTTATTCATGAACATTACAGAGAGAGAATAAGTTAATTTTGTTTTAATAATAAACATGACGACCAGCGAAGCGGTGCTTTTGCAATTCTGATAATAAACAGGTTGAATGTCGTCGAATTTTTAACGTAAGGTTAAAAAAATACTTTTTATTGGTACTTAAATAGGTACCTACTATTTTTCTTTTTGTAAGCTGTCAAAAAATTGAATTGAAAACTATTAAGCTTCTAGCCAGCTTAAATTTTTTTTAAAGCTACCTAGGAGACCAATCAAGCAAACGATATTTATACCTGAGACAGAACTCCTTATTATAGATGTTCTATGTATCAGTTGTAGTAAATTAATTCATAGTATTCAGTCAAAAGATATATTTGTTATGACTAGGTAGTAGGTACTCCGTACTCGTAGAATACATACTTAGTATCAGATCGAGGTCCGCCGCAAGCCCTCACAGTTATCGCGGCGGCTGCAGCGTGCACTTTATGCAATAGTTATCGACATCTCGATTATACAGATTAGTATTTATGAATGGTAATAATGAGCCATCTCTAATAGCATTATCTGAAGCGAGTTTCGTCGCAGCGACGTTAAAAAGTAGCAGCCAGATAAGGCGTGTTTACGTCGGGCTCGGGAGGTCATGAGATACGCGCTTACGTAATGACATACTCGATCTTTCAGAACTTAGATCATTTGGAGCGAGTAGAGCTAAACTAATCTAGAAAAAAACTACTGAAAGTGGAATAATGTATCTAAATGTGCTAAACTTCTCTTATGCTGAAGTAATATAAGCTGAAAAAAAGTTTTAGAAATCTTAATTTACGTTACGCCGCACGACGAATGTTACAATGGCGATAACGAGACCATAACTATCAAATTCAGTAGCGACCGCGGCTACGTAGTTTCTGCTGCGAAAGAAAGCGCGTTCAAGTCAATCAAATCGAATAAACCCTTTATGGATTGGACAACGTCCAGGTCGCCAACAACTATCCAAAATAAGCTCAACTAACTATATAGAGCTTGATTGATCTCTAACATAGCTAGAACTTATATCGTTAAAATATTAAATTTTGAATTCCGGCCAATTCTACCTAATAAAAAACACGTGGTAGGCGATAACTCATGTCGTTGGAACATTTCATTTATGAATCAGTTTTCTATTAGCGATATCGAAAAAAGAACAATTTCGCCAAGTGTGTAGAAGCTACACTCGTTACTATTGTCATTTTTACACAAATTATTTGATTATGCTAAAAAACGTAATTTTTTCATCATGTCATATTAACCTCAATATTTTATAAATATGTGAGTACATGTTTATATTTATTATATAACGTAAAGTAGTTAAAAATTACTTAAATGTATATATTTCAACAAAAATTCTCAAACTAACTTGCATATGTAGAGCATATGGCTCACATTGTACCGAAGCCTTGTCCTTCGTATCATGGTTTTTAGTAAAACATAATAGAACGATATTATTTGAAATCGTTGTATATTGGTAATTGCGAGTGCCGTAGCGCGACGGGCGGCGGGCGGCGGGCGGCGGGGGCGCGAGGCGCGGAGGTGCGGAGGGGGGAGGGGCACTGATAACAGCCGAGCGCGACCTCCGGCCCTCGCTTCAAAATATTAATATCTTATTTATTTAAACTGTCGCCCCCGGGCCCCTCCCCGCGCGCCCCCACGCACCCGCGGGCCCCGCCTCGGCAACAACAAGCCTTCATTAAAATTGTTTTTGTCATAAAAAGCAGCACCGAACGTATTATATACCTACTGAGTGCAATGTGGCAGCGATCCACGCTAATTCACAACTCGATTATAAATAAATTATGTTATAGGTAGGTACTTGAGTCATTACTACCTCAGGCCTACTATAATACCAGTCGAAATAATAATGATAAATATATTAGGAGAATCTTAGTCATTAAAGAAATATTTAACTTCTAATAATAGTACACAGTAACCAACTTTGGTAAACATGGATGTACTTAGGAGAGCCCAAAGTATCTAATTTGCGGTTGTAATCGGATAAATTATTAAATTAACAAAAAAACCAGCGCTAATGGCATTTACTCTGACGATTAATGTTAAATAGTTAGGAGTACCTATTAATTTTACCGTTATTTCGTTTGGAGTTCAGTTAATGTCAGGCAATTATTAAAAAATAAACAAGCTCGCTCGCGCGTCAACAAACATAATCGCGATGATAACGGGGAAAATAAAATCGCGTGACATTTGATACTGATCTGGATCCGCATTCGTTATTACTCCTTGCTGCCTTTGATTGCCTTTTTGTACACGGAGCAGGTGTTCGCATGTACATTGTATAACCAACAACAGCCTACCGATTTCTTGAATTATGTATTTCTCTCCAATTGCAATTTTCAGAGGGCCTTCCAATATTTAATAGACAGTAAAAAAAAAACTATTTTTATGTATAATTTATGTAAAAAATAATATATAGGTAATTTATAATTAAACTTGACAGTATTCATACTTAGCAAATTATTTATCAGACAACTTGGTGGATTGGATTACAACTCAGTTTAAATAGCTTGCCTTTATATGGACCTCATTAAATTAAGACAATATTGTGCAATTCCTATTGGAATTTACAGAAATAAATAGAAAATTATCAATTTGAGAGGGTTTTGAGATTTGGGACGGATGTGAGACGCCGGAAGGAGCTCAGCCGCTTTTATATAGTACATACTTAGTCAGTTAGATACATAAGCCGGGGTGAATAATAGAACAACAATTCGCAGAGGGTTGTGCCCTTTGTCCTATTGTTTTTGAAGTCTCGTTCCAAAGCAATTAGTCACCACTGGTAATGTCCGTCTGCCCGTCCACCAGGCGCTATTGTCTACAATATTACTATATTTAATATTATAGTTTATCATTATCCCATAGCCGATTTTCCAAATGTTTATCCTTTTTAAATTAATTACATATAATGTATACTGTAGACATGCAACGTCTAGTATGTTGGGCCATATGCCGAATACAGAATATTCTGTGGGCCTTCTGGCCGAATAGCAGAATATTAGGCAAAAGTTTTTGATTAGTTTTTCTTTGTTTGACGCCAGAAAGTAGTATTTATTCAGAGCGTTTTTCTCTGAAGCTGGGGTTGTCTACGGGAAGAAAAGGAGTAAATTACTGCCAGAAAATGCAAAGAAATTAGACTTTCAACATCATAATTTCCACTTCTAAATTTTAATTACGATTATACAAGTGCATCGACATTTATTTGATAATTTTTTGTCATTTTTGTGATACAGAAGTTGATAATGTACCTACGGCTGCTTTAATGATCATAATGAAAATATATTTTTATGACATAGATCAATACCTATATTTTACCAATTATCTAATTAAAACAATATATATATATATATATATATATATAACTTTAAATACATATGTACATTCGCGCTCATCACACAAATGAATACCCCCAGCGGGATTCAATCCCACGACCACTGGCACAGCAAGTAGGGTCACTACAAACCGAGCCAAACGTGTCGTAATAATATATATGCTGATAGATTTGATACAATAAACTAATTATACTTAAACTATGAAACAGTAGGTAGATATAACATAGCTACGAGTCCGTCCGGGCCGTTATCTCGGCTCGTAAACAAAATGTTGCTGAATTAATCTATTTATCACTATGTATTAAATCATTAATTATTGTAATTAAAGTTACTGTGATAAAATATTATTTAAATGTTCTGTAATTAAATATTTTAGATATTATTATTTAACAAGTGATTTCGCTTTTTATTCTCGTGTTAATCTCCCGAAATATCCCATTAGTAATCAATAATCATGTCTACGACTAGGGAGGTACCTACGACACCTACAGAATAATAAACTTAACGTGATAATGTCTAGAAATATTTCTTGAAAGAACCAGTAGGTAGTTACTACATTGATAAATAAATGGAGTTCTTTTAGCTAATATACAAATGAAAAGAAATATCTCAATTAATGTATTTATTAAAAATATACCTACTTACTAAATTATTACTCTAATTTTAATCTATACACATGTATAATAAAATTTTGAGTCGAATCTATACATTAAATACTTTTTGGAAAATCTTATTGAAATAGTCATTTTTACCTATCAATACACAGGGCGAATTTACCTATAGTTTTTAGAATTTTTGTCTGTCTGTCTGCCTGCATCACGAAAAAACCACTGGACAGATTTTGATGAAATTTGGTATGATGTCATGGTGGTTTGGAGAGCTGGTTATCTGGGTCAATATATAGGATATTTTTATTATTGCGGGAAATTATCTTATATCTGTGAAATCTATACTAACATTAAAACGCAGGGACGATCCCGAGCGGAGCGAGGGTGAGTCGCTAGTGTGCATAATAATATAAATATTATAAATGTGAAAGTTTGTGAGTATGAATGAATATTTGTTACTCTTTCACACCAGAACGGATAAACAAATCTGGATGAAATTTGGCACAGAGATAGATTATAGTTTGGAATAACACATAGGCTTTAGACTTTTTATCCCGGATAAATATACGGATCCCGAGGGATAGATTTGTTTTTGTTTTTCTAA